AATTTTTGGAATAGAATCGAATTTACTATATAATAAAAATAATGAAATTTTATATAGAAAAACATTGAAAAGAACTAAATAAAAAAAGGTCCATATCACCGTAAAGGGAAGTGAATGCTTGTCTTCGTCAGGGTTGCCTGTAATCTGTTTCATTTTTTTCCTATGGTTTTAATGAAATTGAGGGTCTCTTTTTCGAACATGCCTAAGGTATTGGTAACGATTGGTATGAAGACTTTTATATAATATATATTCTTGCTTTTCTAATCGGGAGTTCTCCTTTCCATTATTACTTCCAGATTTGGTGGAAAAATTTTCCAGCAAGATTTCTCTCAAATTTTTCAAAGAGGAGCTCATTTTTTAAAAAATTAAATTAAATTTTTATCCACTATTTAAGTCTTTATATGTTTAATTGGAAATTAATAAAATTTAATGGGAAATTAATCGACCTCGATCGCAATGTCAATCATTAATAAACAATTAACTCCAAAAGTCGGGTGATCCCTGATAAATTTTTATTTTTGAAAAAATGAGCATTCCAAAATCTTTCAATGTGGAAAGTATTGTTGTGTTTTATGTATTTTGTGAATACCATATTGTGTATTTTTATATTAAATCTTGAGAACTGATTCAATTTGATATATATCTACAAAAATCGTGTCTCGTAGGAGGGGCACGCTATTACTCTAAAAAAATAATAGGAGGCACTCTATTATGGGGAAAATTTTTGTTTTTCAAAGATTTGATGCAAAATTTTAAATTTTTTTTCAAAAAATAGCTTATATGGAAACATTTCATATAAAATACATTATACTATCATATAAAATGGCTATTTAAAAAGCTTGAAATATATTGCAAAAAATATATATTGAATAAAAAATGACGTAATTTTTTACAATGTATTTCATAATTATATATTTATAATATAATTCATAAATCGGAATATATAAAAAAAAGTATAAATAAACCAGTAGCGTCACTATTGGGATGGACTCGAGATCCTGAAAAATTTGACTCAAAATTTTTTGAAATTATCTTTTTACACTAAAAAAATAGGAGTTATCTAAAAATAATTAAAAATTTTTTGAGTCCCCTGAGATTGTAAAGGCTAGTGACGCCCTTAAAATTTACTGTATTACCATAGAGAACTTTTTCAATATTTTTAATAATTAACTATTGTGACTTGTCGGTAACTTATTAATGTATGGGAAAACATTCCACATAATGAGAGAAACCCAGTAAAAGCTTATCATCAATAAACTAACTGAAAATATATTTTATTGTAAGACTTACAGGCAACTTAATCATAATGACATTCATAAGACGAAAGTTGAACTCACATTCAGCAGTGTTACAAGGAATTGTGTTAATACATTTTGAAACTCTTTCAAACCATAGAGGCTATTACTGTCATTATTATCATCAATATATTCTTCAAAAATTTATTGCGAGATCCACATCGAGCTTCAGTCGGAAATTAAGTTATTATATTTGCTCTTTACCATAACAAATGTGAGAGTCCCCTGATTAGTTATCTTTTCTAAATATTACATATAAGTTAGGTAAAAAGATAATACTGATTTTGTTGACTTCTAAGAATGCGGCTTCTGAGAATTGCGAAATTACGAGAATCATTTTTTTTGTTTTATTACGAATCAGTTTAATTTTTCACTCCAAATATAAAATGTAATTCGATCTTTTTATAAAATTTGTAATTAATATAATGTCATTCACAATTGGAATTAGTGTATCCAAAAAAAAAGAAAAGTAATTTAAATTTTGAAGGTCATTACCAAAACAAAATAAATAGTTTAAAGGAATTATAAATTACAACTACTTACCACTTCACTCTTTTTTTTAAAGTTTTCGCCCTCTGTCTAACATCTTATCGTTGATCTTGCTACCGGTTTCTTCATCATTTATTGTTCTCTTGTCCTTTGTTGATCTTGATTGTTATCATTTCCTTAGTTTTGATCCACAAAAAAATTCTTGTTTATATAGCATAAGCTATTGAAAGTTTATTTAAATTTAAAAATTCTTTGTAATAAAAATTTTTTATTTTTATTTATTACATATATATTTTTTAATCTTTTTATATTCATTATGAAATTTTTTAGGCTTCTGATTGGTTGACTGTTAAGACTCTGATCTTGCACTTGTAATTTCGTTTTGTTTTGGCACGTCGCCATTATTTGTTTATTTTTGTTTTTTTCGTAAATAACTTTTTATATTTAAATTCGGCTACAAAAGTAATTAAAGCACTAACCTCTAACAAGGAAGCCCTAAAGAAGGATATAAATTTCATCGTTAGTGCTTTCTGGCCATAATTTGACCTCTAGACATTTCTTTAGCGTATTACAATTTTTTATAAAGACGGTTAACCAAATTAATTACGGAATTCAAATTTGCTAATTAAGCACTAAATAATGGCGAAAACCGAATGTTTAGTATTACTATAGTTTTTGTTTTGGCACGTCGCCATTATTTGTTTTTTTTGCAATTAACTTTTTATTCTAAAATTCGGCTACAAAAGTAATTCAAGCACTAATCTCTACTAAGGAAGCCCTAAAGAATGATATAAATTTTATCGTTAGTGCTTTCATAATTTTCTGGCCAAAATTTGACCTCTAAATATTTCTAGCGTATTACGATTTTTTCATACGACGGTTATCCAAATTAATTATGGAATTCAAATTTACTAATTAAGCTCTAAATAATGGCGAAAACCGGATGTTAACTACTACTCTAGTTCAGGGTTGGGCAGTATCGCGGATATTTGTATCAGACTTTTTTAAAATTTTGGAAAGTATCTTGTATCCAGTATCTAAGATAAATATTATTTAAAAGTATTTGTATCTTAACCAACTTTGTATTCAAAAAGATACAGATACTTAAAAAAATTTATATTGGTTAATTTAAATAGTATTAAAATTTAAAATGATATTGTTTTAAGATTTAAATGAAAAATTTAATCAAAATTTAGATATTTTAAGATAATTTTTGATATATGACGTTGGTCGTCATATAGCAATTTGCTAACAATTAGAACTACCATATTAGAATCGTTTTATATCTGTCTATTTTAAAATTAAGGAAGAAGAAAATAGATTAATATGTTTATCTTCGTCTTCAGATGATTCTTCAACCAAACATTATAACAATAAATTTAAACTAAGCATACTTAATGGCAAATTTTTTGAAGTACTTCAAGATAATCATAATAAAGAAATTCATCGTGACTTTGGTATTAACGAAAAAGTTATAGCAACTGTTACAGATAACGGCTCTAACTTTAAGAAAGCTTTCAAGGAGTTTGGATATTTTATGGAAGCTGTAGAGAATGACTTTGACATCAATGATGATGAATGTATAGAATTCGAAGTCACTAAAAGTATTATTTAATAAAAGATTTTATTCTAAAATTATTTATTTGTTTATATTTAAGGGTCTAAAAAAGAATCAATATAATTGCCTCAGCACATTCGTTGTCTATGCCATACGATAAGCCTTATTGCCAGAACAGATGCCGAGAAAACTATAAGGATTTTTTTGCCATTTCTAGAATTCATCATCCCACACTAGCCAAATGTACTAAGCTATGGAATGCAAATAATAGGCCTAAAACTACAGAACTTATCAAAGCAGTTTTAGGAAAACAATTTGTTACACCTTGTTGCACTAGATGGATTAGTTTTATGATAGTCTTCATAGTTTATTAAAATTTAAAGGCGAACTTCCTAAATTATGTTAAAAATTAGAATTTCCTCTATTAAGAGATATTGAAATTCAATATTTAGAAGAATATTGCAATATAATGGCCCCATTGGCTATAGCGATTGACAAAATACAGAGTGAAATCAACTGCTATTATGGAAAATCAACTCCAATTTTAAATGTCGTTAAAAAAAAAATACAAATTTAATTCAAACCAATCTACAATTTTGCAAACCATTAGCTATTGCCATAGAAAATTATTATAATTGCTGATATTTTAAATTTAATTGATTTTGTCAATTTTTTTTTTAATTTTAAATATATAATATTATTATTACTATTCGTAATTACGTATTATTGATTTTTATTTAAAAAAAAATATAATATTAAAAATTATTATTATTTTTTAAAAAAAAGTTGTTGAAAAAAGAAAATTTTTGTTTTTAATTCATTATATTTTTTTGATTAAATTTTTGAAAAATAAAATTAATAAAGGATAAAAAAAAGGGTTGTAAAAAAAATAATAATTATTATTATTGAAAAGATAAAGAGTTGTAGAAAATTAAAAGAAAAGGAGTTGAAGTAAGTTTTTTTTTAATAAGAAAATTATTACCAAATACAACGTGTGGAAATAAATTAAAAGAAAAAGAGTTGAAATAAAATATTTTAAAATAAGAAAATTGCGTTGAAAGAGTTGATCGTTTTTTTTAAAAAAAATTAAGAAATATTAAATGTTGATTTAGGTTTAAAATAGCGGAGAAATATCACATTGGTGCCGTGACCGAAAAGTGTTGTAAATTATTGAATAAATTTTAAAGAGTTGAATTTGAACAAAATATACAAGTGTTGTAAATTATTGAATAAATTTTAAAGAGTTGAAATTTAACAGAATATACAAGTGTGTTGAGAAATTATATTGTAATTGTATTAAAGGTTGTTATATTGTAATAACAGGTTGTAATAATAAATTGGCATAAAACAGAGTTGTTTAACAAGGAAATTGTTGATAAATTGGTATTAAATAAAATTAGAAAAGAGATTCGAAACGAATTTAGGGTAGAAAAAATTTTGAGTTGAATATATGTATGTTTGAGTTGAATATATGTATAAGTGTATATTTGGAGTATTTACGTTATTAATACTGTCTTATTTATTAACACTACAAGTTATTAAAATATTTATTTTAAAGGTGATTGTCAATTTTATGTGAGATGAAAAGTTTTAAATTTATAAAATACTGGGAGGTCCAATATAATATTATTGGAGCATTGCTGGTGTTGGGTATATGGATGTGTAGTTTAATCCTAGGAAGGAGGACTAGGCGCAATCGAAGTGTTAGAATCAAAGGGCAGTCTTTAACGATAGAAGGAAATAATGGAGAGGAGGATGTGATGGGAAAGGTAACTTGGTTACCAGTGCAGGAATTAATAAAGGGTTGGACTGATAGTGAGGTATTAGGTTTATCAGAAAATAATTTAATAAATAGACGTGCTGAAGGCGATGTATTTGGGAAATATGAGTATAGAAGTCAAGTGTTGAGACCATATGGAGACAGAAAAAATCTGGTGAAAAATAGAACGGAGATGAGACCGAGATTTAATTCTCGAGGGAGAGGAGACATAACTTGTTATAATTGTGGTGGACAAGGACATATGGTTAGGGATTGTCAAGAAACAAAGTGTTTTGGATGCGGCAAACGTGGTCATATAGCCCCCTTTTGTTCGCAGAAACAAGAAAAATTGAGATGCGCCGGGTGCGGGAGATTTGGTCATAATAAAGAGAATTGATATGCTATTCTTTAAAAATATTAAATTAAAATTTATTTAGAAATTATAAAAGATATTTTAAACCTGCCAGGCATATTATTAAACAATTTTAGAAAATGGATTCTTCAGTTTTAGGTAAACTGATTGTTGTTGCATAAAACAGCGTCTAATTCGGGGGGGGGGTACGGATAGGAACAGTTTTCATTCAATTATTTTTGAGGGAGGTAGGCATTTAAAGAGGGTAAGCTAGGGGTAGTATAAATTTATTGAGGTGTTATATATTAAATTTTTAGAAAAAATAAGGTAAATGTATTGATGTATAAATTAATACTATTTTTATAGACGTATTTTAATATTATGATATTGATAATAATTGACCAAATCTGTATCCAATCATAGACATTATTTTTCAAAAGAAGCTATTTCTGGATAATTTTATGCTATCCTTTATAATCTTATTTAATAAGGGGTAGACATTGTATCAGCAAACTCATATTCACGCCGAACAGTATACTAAAATAATGTATTAATTCAAGTTCTAAAAAGTAACTCTTTTAGATTCTCAATATATTTATAGTTGGTAGTAGAGCATTAATATTTTAAATTATTCTTTAAATATTTATGAAGGGGGTACCATTATAATAAAAAATATGTCATTAAGAATGTGGGAATACTAGTGCCGAAGGTGGCGAATATATTTATATGTGGGGGGGGGGAATAAATATAAGTTTTTGAGGGGGGTTTGTATCCAGTAAAAATTATGTCATGTAGACGCTGATCTAAAGCTTTAAAAACCGATGAATAATTTAACTAGAAGATCATCAATCTACGAGATCTAATAATTCTCTACTTTATAATATAGCCCGTTAAATTCTGCACTGTATAAATCTGCTGCAATGGTTCTCAAGGTGTAAAAAATGGCTTTTGCGAACCGGTGATGGGTCCTATTCACGTTTGGTAATGTGTGACAAATATTCAAACCTATATTGTAAAAAAAGATAAAAAAATTATAATAAATACCAATTTTATTTTTTGGTCATGACATTGATCTCTATATCCTATTTGAATATTAAACATTGTCGTTCTAAGTGTTTTAACTATCTGGGAGGAAATAAATTTGGAGACCACTTAAATAGTCCAATTTTGGTACATAAGGCCTCTGGACTAGAGGTCTGCATTGGGCGGGGTTTCGGACCGCCCGCCCATTATTTTTCGAAATGGGCAGGCGGGTTAAAAAAAATATAAAACTATAGGCGGGCGGGTTAAAAAAATTTGAAACTATGGGCGGGCGGGGTAAAAAAATTAAAACTTTTGGCGGCTGGCCGGCGGGTTAAGAAATTTGAACACTGGGCGGGCGGGTTAAGGATATTAAAAATTTTTGTTGAAAAACCAACTAAAAAATAATAATTGTTTAAATGAATTATAATAACAAATAATCCAATAAATATGGATAAAATGGGAAAAACAAATTGTGAAAAAAAAAGATTTAATAAAGAAAAGAGCTAAAAATATTATAATTGAAAATTTTGAAATCCATACGCTTCATAAAATTTCAACATTTTTAATACCAAAGTTCCGACAAATGAGGATGTTGACGTCGGAAGAAATTAATGAAGTAAAAAAAAACATGTTGGATTTGATTTGCATCGAAGAATATAACATCGACGTGGATGAAAATCTGATTTACCCCTTTCCCCAAATGCAAAGAGAATCAAATTAGAGGGTATTAATAAATTATAAAATAGCTTAGCTCTATTAAATGCAATGTTTAAAATAAATAGCATCCGCTTCAAAATTAAACCCCAACATATGGGAGGATGAGGTTGTTACAGAGGAGAGTATTGTACCTAATGACATAACAAAATATTTAAATCTTAAAGTAAACAGTTTTGATATGTATAATTTAGAAAAATTTTAAGTTGCATATTACAATTAATTTAAATTTTAAATTACTTTATTAAATTTATTATTATTGGTTAAGATCTCTATTGAGGAAGAGGATATACTTCAAACGGATATCCTACTTTGGTGGAAATGACAAGAAAGAGATTTGCTAAAGCTATCAAGATTAGCAAGAATTCGGATAAATTTATTTTTGTTTATGAATATTTATTCCAGCTTTAGAAATATAGGCTAAATTAATATATATAAATTAGTTCAGATAATTTTTGCCTGACATGCATTATCGTTGGCCAGAAAAAAAACTGAATTCGTAATCTGTCAGATAGTTAGAAATCTGTCATTCTTTAAATTTAGAAGTATAATATGCAAATCAATGACATACTCTTATTTTATCAGCTAATAAAATTTTACGGTAGGAGTGCCTTTGATCGTAGGACACTTCATCGTATTTTTCGTCCAACTCGTCCAATTCGTTCAAAATGAAGATTAATAAGTTTGAAGGATCTATTATTAGATTCGAAAATAAGGATTTATGTATGATATTGGACTTTTTTCGTCTGCAGGAAAATGGCTGATGTTAAATCGCCACCTCCAAGAAATAATGATATCTATCAATTCTACAAATACTTCTATCACTCACAATTTCATTTTCAAGCACACTATATTCCTTAAATATTTACTTTGCGACTACATACATTTTTTATGACATGAAAAGCCTGACTTCTACTCTTCTGAATCAAAACTCTAGTAAATTCTTTCAAATGCATGGAAGATGTTTGTGAGAGTAATGAGACTCTTTTTTAATTGCTGAGGATTATACATGACCCATAATATATCTCTGTCAAGTTGTTATTTTTATTCATTAATTTTTTTATTTTTTCTAGATTCAAAGAAATAAATTCTCTTCTTTATTTACTAATTTATCTCAATCAATTCATCATAACTTAATTCTTTCTTATCTTCTCCAATTCTTTACCTAAGCTACTATAAAGTTTAGCAAGTACCATTATAAATCATTTATTTATCTTTTATTTCAATTATTTATTTCCTTTAACAATTTATTTTTTCTATATATTAATCTTATTAACTTAATTTAAACAAAATAATATAAATCAACATTTAATATAATTACAACTTCTTTCTTAAACAAAATTTAACTTTAATCCTCTCTTAAAACTCAATTTCATGGATATTTTCTTATTCATCATTTCTCTTGTCTGCTTTTTGCTTTTTCAATTTTCCAAGTATCGTTTGCTTATTTTTTCCCCATTTTTTTTCTATTTCAAAATTCAAATTTATCTTACAATTTACTTTAAAATTTATATTATGTCAATTTTCAAAAATCTAACAATCTACTCCTACAACATTCCTGGCCTACTTTCAAAAACAACTATACTTAGGAAACTCCTTGATCAATATGATATTAACATTATTTTAACACAAGAATCTCTTATTACCAATAATATAAAAAAAAAAAAATAGAAAACAAAACAAAAAAAAATAAATAAATAAATTACAAAAACTAATTCTTCTTCCTCTTTACTATTTAATCAACCCCCCCCCCCTCCCCTTTTTTCTAATACATATTCCTATCTTATCTTTTATAATAAATAAACATTATTTACAATGTGGATCCTGGCTTATCCACGAGTGGTACCCGTCATCCCACTCAAATTAAACGGGACCCTGACAGTAGGGTAAATTACTGTCAACTTTGTGGATCCTGGCTTATCCACGAGTGGTACCTGTCATCCCACTCAAATTAAACAGGGCCCAGACAGTAGGGTAAATTTTCTGCCAAACAGTGAATGCAAATTCACTGCACTGGAGACGCCCTCTATGGGGTGGTGGAGTGCCCACTTAATTGTGGGATGTCTCCCCAGTGTATAATATGATATGATATGATAATAGGTTTGAAATGGTAAAATTTAATTTGGAATGGTAAAATTTAATATATATTATTCAAATATAGAATATTTAGCAGGTTTCAAATGGCAAAATATAATTTCTACAGCAAATTAAGAAGATTAATAGGTTTAAAATGGTAAAATTTAATATATATTATTATTCAAATATAGAATATTTAGTAGATTTAAAATGGTAAAAATTTATCTTAGCTCTTACACAATATCAAAAGAACAACCTAGGATATAATTTCTACAGCAAATTAAGAAGATTAATAGGTTTAAAATGGTAAAATTTAATATATATTATTATTCAAATATAGAATATTTATCAGGTTTCAAATGGTAACAATTTATCTTAGCTCTTACACAATATCAAAAGAACAACCTAGGATATAATTTCTATAGCAAATTAAGAAGATTAATAGGTTTAAAATGGTAAAATTTAATATATATTATTATTCAAATATAGAATATTTAGCAGATTTCAAATGGTAACAATTTATCTTAGCTCTTACACAATATCAAAAGAACAACATAGGATATAATTTCTACAGCAAATTAAGAAGATTAATAGGTTTAAAATGGTAAAATTTAATATATATTATTATTCAAATATAGAATATTTAGCAGATTTCAAATGGTAACAATTTATTTTAGCTCTTACACAATATCAAAAGAACAACCTAGGATATAATTTCTATAGCAAATTAAGAAGATTAATAGGTTTAAAATGGTAAAATTTAATATATATTATTATTCAAATATAGAATATTTAGCAGATTTCAAATGGTAACAATTTATCTTAGCTCTTACACAATATCAAAAGAACAACCTAGGATATAATTTCTACAGCAAATTAAGAAGATTAATAGGTTTAAAATGGTAAAATTTAATATATATTATTATTCAAATATAGAATATTTAGCAGGTTTCAAATGGTAACAATTTATCTTAGCTCTTATACAATATCAAAAGAACAACCTAGGATACAATTTTTACAGCAAATTAAGAAGCTTATTTTATTATTCAAATTTATAATGTATATGACATATGTTAATTATTTCAAATGTATAAATCGAATACAAAAATATAAACAACTAATATTTATTTAGCATGTATAAAACAAATATAAATTATTTACAATGTAAAATACAATAATAAAAATTATATATTATCAAATAAATTTGAATTATATATTAATTTAATATAAGCTGATGCTTTATCAGCAAATTCTAATTTATTAATGATACAAGTATTGTATTGTACAGTCAATTTTTCCAAATTTCTCTCTTTTAATATATATTTAGTATTTGTTTTCTTAAGCGTCATCCCTAGATCAATTTGAACCTTCTTTAGCTTGAGGTTCCTATGGTCCAATTGTATTAGCGTTATAAAGGAATAAATATTTGGGTGAGATGACTTCACCAACTTATTTAAGGCTGAATGCCATCCTTCAAGGTGATTGTTTGTGCGCGGGCCACCTATTGCATATCTACTCCAGATCTCCCTTGAGAACATTGAATTACGCCCTATAAAGAAAAAAAATATATATTAATATATTTTTTATTTTACCTGTCCAGGTTTTATCCATATATAGAAACAAAAGATTTAGGTCTATATTATTTATTTGGGCCAAACTTTTACTTATATCTAGGACATCATCAATATCCTCAAGCTTGAGAAGATGTAAAATGCACATCCTCCTTACAATTTTTCTGGCGATAGGATTTTCATGATATATTTTTTTTAGCAATAAGGAATTGACTTTTCTCCAAACACTTTGGGTAAAGTGGAAAAAACAGCCTAATTATAAAATTAAAAAAATATAAAGAATATTATCAATTAACCTTTGATTTGTATATTTATAAATACATCATACAAGGCCTCTATGGCTGCCTGTTCAAATTCTAATTGAACATATTTTGGACTAAGTATAAAGTTATAGTCCTCACATATCTTCTTTATCATTTGGAAGAGTTTTATATAAGTAGCTTTACTTTTATTTGGCAATAAAGCATATATGGTTACTAACATATGCTCTTTATAATAAATATGAAAAGTGTATAATTGTTTGTAAATTTTGGGGGAAATGAAAAAGGTGCCATCCATGTAGATGGTTTCAGCCTCTGCAAGGATTCTAATAAATTCATGTGTTGAGAATATTAGGATCTCATTATTATCATTGGCTAAGAGGAATGGTTCCCCTTCAAATGTGATGTATTCTGTTGGTAATATTAGCTCACCTGTTGTAAGAGGCAAAGCTGGCCGTGACTGCTTGATCATTCGAATCATTGTTTTTTGGACTGATTCAAATGGTGGAATTGCATTAGGGAAGTCTGAGATATCTGGAGTGTTATGGAGCCTTTCTGTTAAAATTCGATTATATATTGTCTTTCTTGATTCTAATGGGTTTGCTTGCATTGCAGTTTTAAGACTGTTTCTTGTTTCAAGGCCCAAGAATTCATCCTTGTCCTCTTCATGTGTATGTTCCCTTTTAATATCAACTCTAGAATCTTGGATTCTTAAAATCTGCTTTTATTTTAAAAAAAAAACGGTTTTTTGACCGGGGACGCGTAGTGTTTTTGAAAAAAAAAGTTTTTTTTGAAAAAATCACTAAGTTATAAAATAGTTTAAAATATAATATTTACATATTCTGTATTCTTTTAATGAGCTAAATATGAATCCGTTTTGATTTTTTAAAAAAACTGTATTTTGACCGGGGACGCGTAGGGATGCGTAGTTTAGTTAAAAAAAATTTTTTCGAAAAAAATTTTATTTTTAAATTTTTTTTATTAATACCATTTTCTGAATCTCCTTAAAAAGCTAAACATGAATCTGCTTTTATTTAAAAAAAAAACGGTTTTTTGACCGGGGACGCCTAGTGTTTTTGAAAAAAAAAAGTTTTTTTTGAAAAAATCACTAAGTTATAAAATAGTTTAAAATATAATATTTACATATTCTGTATTCTTTTAATGAGCTAAATATGAATCCGTTTTGATTTTTAAAAAAAAACTGTATTTTGACCGGGGACGCGTAGGGATGCGTAGTTTAGCCAAAAAAAATTTTTTTTATTAATACCATTTTCTGAATCTCCTTGAAAAGCTAAACATGAATCTGTTTTATTTAAAAAAAAAACGGTTTTTTGACCGGGGACGCGTAGTGTTTTTGAAAAAAAAAGTTTTTTTTGAAAAAATCACTAAGTTATAAAATAGTTTAAAATATAATATTTACATATTCTGTATTCTTTTAATGAGCTAAATATGAATCCGTTTTGATTTTTTAAAAAAAACTGTATTTTGACCGGGGACGCGTAGGGACGCGTAGTTTATTTTTTAAAAAAATAAATTTTTGTAAATTTTATATAGTTACCGTATTTTTTTTAAATTAAAAAAAACATTTTCTAACTTATCTTATAAAGCTTAATAAGATTTCCTATTAATAATAATAAAAATAAGTCATTTTGACCGGGGACGCGTAGTTTTCGGGGACGCGTATTTTAGTCATTCCCATTTATTTATAAAAATATTTACCAATATGTGATTTACACTGTTCTATGGTATGATCCTGCATCTCTGTGAACCTACCTGATTGTAAAATACCCCGTCCTAAGCAACTCCTTTGTCTACACCTGTAATACGATGTGGCATTTATTACTCTATGGATGGTATATTCTAAATCATTAAAACATAAAATATCACGTCCTCTTTTGGATTTTTTATTAGTAATTTTGTTTTCTAAAATTAAAACTAAATTATTTATATATAATTAGATTGCTAACTTTGAATTATAGTGGGATTAATTCTTCTCTCAAATTTCCATTATTATGATTAAAATTGTTTACACTTTTGTATTTCCCGCACTTTATTGGACCAATCACAGAATTGGACGAAACTTTACGATGAAGTGTCCATACGATCATAGGCACGGAAATCATTTTACGAGAATATCAAAATGTAAGTAAAAGTATACTTTTGATATATAGTATCATTGTTAATTTAAGTAATATTCGATATATAATTGTTATAAATTAGCGTTCGATTTTATATTACCATTAACTAAATGAATATAAATAAGATTATTTTTTTAAATTTCTGATAAAGTTAAGTATATTTTTCCTCTTATACTATATTATTATACGATTAATATATACTATTTTTTGTAATATAATATTGGTTTGATATTTTTGATAAAAATATAAATTTATACATTAGTTGGTTAATATAGTATTTTAAACTTATCTCACTCAATTTATATAAAATCAAAATTAATAAAATGTAATAAATTTTTATAATTTTTTTAAAAAATAATCAGCAACCTTGAGAAAAATATAAATATTAATCTTTGAAATTGACCAATAAATCTGTCCTTGAACCAACTAATTCATTTTATTATATTTAATATTAGATAATTAAGCTTAAATTTGCAGCCATTAATAAATTGATTTCTCTTATCACTTTGTATCATAAATATTTATATATTTTTTTTATTAGGGCTACCACCATGATACCGATTCCACCATATTTATTTCGAAAATATTTTTGCATATCTAAATTGAGATGTAGGAAAATATATACTACAAAAAGGTAAATATTCTTATTTTTATATTTAAATGCCTTATTAGAGGTTTGCTGAACAATTTTTTAGCGATTTGATATATTTAAGAGAGTGGGTGGTAATAAACACTGGACAGGCTGGAGTTTGATTAAGATATTTTATTTGCAGGAAGGATGTTTATTTGTATATATTTCACTATAAGTGAAACGTATTCAAATATATATTTTTTTATTTAAAAAAAGAATGGGTAGGGAACATTTTGAACCAATGGAAAGACTACATAATTTTAGACATACATGATCATATTTTTTTAAGGTAGGAAGGTTTATGAGCTAATTGAAATGTGCCTATTCAAAAATCTCTAATTCTTGTAACAATTTAAACAAAAATAAGCTGTTACCAAGGTTTTCCTATACATTATTTAAGTTGTCAAGATCACCAAAATTATTAAAAAATTATTTTATAATTAATATATAAAGTTAATTTATCGATTCTTATTTAATATCATTAATTATTTTTATTTTATAGGTCTTTGCCAATCCATTTTTGCCTATTTTATATTTTCTGATATCACTACAAACATTATGTTCCATGTCCCTGTTTATAAATCATTAATAATGGGTTATCTCTCATTTAACATTATTTTGTTTTAAATAATAAGGGACACCAGAAATGTTTCACAATCTGTTCTGAAAAATAATTCAAATTTTAATTTAATTTATTATATGATCACATTACATATATAACCAATTACAATAAACATTTATTTAAATATAATTAAAATAATTTTAACTTTTATTGTAATAATTAATATTAGATTGTAAGAGCTTTAATTTATAATGCATAATTTTGTTATCCTGTTGGTGTTAAAATGTGTTTTTTACAACAAATATACAGGATTTTTTATTACTTATATAGCGACATTTAATAAATGATTTTTTTTGAATAAAAATTATGATTTAAATTAATTATATTTTTTTGTTTATATTTGAAAACAATTATTAGTTTTGTTTTCAAATAAAAACATGTTATTTTTGGTTATTTTACCTCATTTTTATTTTATTGGCATATTTGTTAATTCATGAAATTTTATTTTTATAAATAATTATTTTCTTGCATAATAAACTTATACATTTTATTAATTTTAAAATTTAAGGAGATATAAAAATCTCTATGATTATTATATCCTGTGTAATTAATATTGATTTATTATTCTGTTGATACTAGGATTAATTCTGATGCAGTTTGTAATTATTAATTCTAGTTTATATTAAAAATATAATATTCAAATATAATTCACTTTAAAATATAACTTTTTTTGTAATTAAAAGGGAAACAATTTCATTGTGGTATTAATCTCAGATAAAATTTTTAAATGATCAAAAACAGATTGATTAAACACCAATTTTAATGCCTTATACAGCAGATTATGAACTGTATATTTCAACTGATTCTAATAAGGTTATGGGAGCAGTAATGTATCATGTTGAGAAGAGACCTTTTGAATTTATATATAAAGTATGAAAGGCACTGAAATTTTTTAACAGGTTTTATTAACAAAAATCTATTTCAGTTTAAGAAGTTACCTTTTGGGCTCAGTTTCAATTTCATATTTCCAAAAAACTTAAGATGAAATATCTTCTGACATTTATATATTATTTGGATGATTTATTAATTGTTGATGCTGAGGATCATTTAATAAATTATCGGTCTAGAATTGGAGTGCTCCACTCAACATTTTCAAAATTTTTGAGTTAGAAGTTGATAATAACTTATTTATTCTCAATATATATAAAAAATAAAAAGTAGATTAAAAAATATTAATTTTTGCCAAAGTTATTGTCAAAATTGATTAATAACTTTTTCCTATATTTTATTTTAAACTTTGATGTTGATTTTCTCATTTTAAACATTCAAAATTTTTGAGTTAGAAGTGGATAATAACTTATTTATTCTCAATATATATATATATAAATAAAAACTAGATTAAAAAATATTAATTTTTGCCAAAGTTACTATCACAATTTATCAATAACTTTTTCCTATATTTTATTTTAAACTTGATTTTCTCATTTTAAACATTTGCGCAAGTGGAGCACTCCAATTCTAGACCAACGAAATATTGGAAAAAGTTTTTGAAAGAATGCCAGAGTTTGGTTTAAAAGGAAATATTGAGAAGAGTGAATTTGGCAAAGATAATATTAATTTAGCTTAATTAATAAGAAGTAAGGATATGCAGCCAATTAAAGAAATTATATGATTATTATGAAGATGACTGAACTTAAGAGTAAATATGAGTCACAGTCATGGTTAGGACTTATGAATTATTATTCAAAGTTAATTAAAGGATTTCCAAAAATTAAAATTATATATACTCAGATTATATTAAAGTTATTATAAATGGGCAATTGTTAAATTTTGATAACACATGATAAATTATTTTTATTGAATTTAAATTCATGAATTCCCAAAGGAGAACTGATGTTTATTGTAATAAAATACTGCAATAACTTGGCCTCAGGAGGTATTTTCACCCAGTTCATATTTTTTAAGTTATAAAATTTGAAATAATAAAAAAATCGTAATTTAATCAAATAAATCTGATTTAAAACAGGATATCGTAATTTAATCAACTAAATTAATTTTTTTTAAATTTTTTTAAAAAAAATTATTTTCGCCAACTCTAATAGCTTATATATAATAAATAATTGATTGATATTATAAAGATTGAATAAAATTTATTATCAATAAAATAGTGTTTTAGAACATTCTGATACATTGAACAGAAAGGGAATATAACAGTAAGAAAAAAATAAAGAAAGAAAGAAAAAGTTCTTTTGACCGGAAAAAGAACACAAAAATATCTTTATTCTGGTTTCCTGGTTTTAATTTTAAATATTCATTAATTGTTATTATTAAATGTGAGAAATTTACTTACCGACGTTGGGCTCGGAGTACCACAGCTACTACCGATTTTCCGATTTTGATTTTTTAACCTATTTTTTTTGCTTGGTTATTGATAGAGGACCTCTCTGGTTTGTACGGTTACCTCCAAACTCTTTTTTAAATAAAATAAAATAAAGGGACATGTAATACCTTTAAAATAAACAGAATATATATTTATATAAATTATAAACAAGGGTATCCGAATGGTATTTGAGCCCATTGCAATGCAGAGAAATTCTATCTCACAACCAACAAAATTGCACAATAGATTATAACGAACAAATAAACCAAAAGAATAAACACCCACAAAATATCCTTAACCATGCCAAATTACGCATAGAATCGAATTACTTATTATCTAACACTCCCATCGAGGATAGGCTATGTTTCGGTACCTGTTTTTTTACAAAATATTTTATGGCGGGAATATTTGATGGCCACCTGGGATCACCCTGCTCGCACGTTTTATCTACTCGATTCCTTAATTTCTTGGCCCTTAGCTTGCTACCAAACGAAAATTTAATTTCCTTAATGGAACAATTATCATCCGACTCTGCCAATCGGTCTTCTGCTACCCATATTCAATCATCTGTTACTTCAAATGACGAAAAAAAACACGAGGTGATAGATAACGAGGAAAATTTAAATATTTTTCGTATCATGAACAACACCGAGGATGATAGTATTAATAACACTCAAATGCCACAGCAAATCCCTCTTGAATTTTATAAAAGGTTTCTCATTTAAACTTTATCAAAGAAAAAGGATATTTTATGTAAGAGCAGGGCGTAGGAAAGTTACAAAAAAATGATAAAAATTTTTTTTCAAAGTTGAAAATATTTAATTTTTGTATTCCATATGATTTACTTCCATTTTTGCACACAGGTATATAAAACAATTAATTGAACGAAACAACCAAATTTTAAAACTAACCAATGACTACTATTCCATGACTACTTCAAAGGAGAATGACCAAAATAAATCACAAAATGTAAACGACGGAATAATTAGCACATCCTTTCCTCGAGGAGTATTATTAAACCGGGAGACTAACGTCATCAATCGTTTAGAGGAAGCCTTCCAAGCTTTCGACGATTTCATATCAGGGCAGGCTCTCTCGGATATGGACGACCGAACACAAAATAATACCCATTCACCGAATATTACAAGCAGGCGACGTCATTTTCTTTTAGGTTCTCGCAAAGCGAAACCTAAAAATGTGCGAGATGAAATGACCGCGTCTTGGGTCGATTGCGCTTTTAGCGGTTCAACGGCCTGTGTGGCTTTCATTGATTACGGTGACAGGTTTTCTGAAGAGAATGCCAATAAAGTTATTGGCTCAGATGAAGAAGGTAAAGTGATTCACTTAGATGAGAATGATAAAGTGGTAAATTACTCGAATAAAGGAATACTCAAGGAAAGTATAGATAAGGAAAAATCGCAGTCGCAGACTATGGACGAGGAACCTACAATTTTATACGTAGCGAACGTGGGAGATTCTAGAGCAGTTTTAGGTTGGATTCTTTTAATAAATTCAAAATTTTAATTTATATCCTTTTCTATTAATTCTTTCGACCTACATTTTATTCTACCTCATAAATGAATCATTCACGTCATAGGTTCAATTGGACCTAACGGGGAATGGTTGACCACCAAATTATCCTACAAGCACTATTGCGAGAATACGTGGGAGACCAGAAGAATTTTGAAGGAACATCCCAATGATTTTGAGAAAGCTTTCCTGTTTAAAGCTGGGAGGCTATTAGGCTTTTTGACCCCTACCCGTTGTTTTGGGGACGCTATGTTTAAATGGCCCATGACTGATATATTGAGGGCTAGAAAGGTTAATGCTTTATAAATTGTGTATGTTTAAATGTAAATTTTAACCCCTGAGGCAGAGTATTTTAGCATGTCGAAACAAAAATAATTATAAGGTTGAGGCTCATCTTTTTTACGCCCACCATAGAAAATATTTAAATACTTAACATTTCAAATATAGTTATATCCAAGTTTGAACATCTACGTGCCTTCTCATTATTTCTCACCTCCTTACTTGACCGCCAAACCGGAAATCATCTCCCACGTATTGAGGCCGCAAGATAAATTTCTAGTGCTAGCCAGTGACGGACTTTGGGACTTTCTGCATACTAGACAAGTCGTAAAGATTTTAGGACAGAAATGGGCCAGTGAACGGAATAAAAACGAAACTAAGGATCAAAATTATTCTTCGATGAGAATGGTGGATGACGAAAACGAAGCAACATCAGTAGGTTATATATCTATCATGTATTTCATAAATGTAGAGTGTATATTACTTAACCCTTTCTTTGGGATTATTTTTACGTCCTGCCCTTTGATAAAATATGCAAAAATCTTTTGCTCTGCAAATATCTAGGTAGTATGATTAAATTAAGTTGATTTAAATCGAACGATGATTTTTTTGAGCAAAGTTAATAATTTAAATAAATTAACTTTTTTTGTTTTTATTTAAATAATTATTGGTTTTTGTTTTAAAGGCTGACCTACCTGCAGAGATACCACTTGCACGGCTCAGTCCAGATTAAAAAAAATTTCTTGGCCAGGCCCGGCTCGGATATTTTTTTATAATTTTTGGGCCCGGCCTTTTAAAAAATATATTAAATTTATTCTTAATTTTTATAACTAATGGCGATTTAAAATATACGGCTCGGCCTGGGTATTTTTTTAGAAAAATTTTCAGCCAGGGTAAAAATTAGAATATGGCCCAACCCTTGTACCCGCGCTCAAGGCCAAGCTGGCGGGCCTCTAAATATATTTAAATAACCTCAAAATTTATAAATTTTCATTAATTTTATAAAATTATGAAACATAGCCATAATTTTCCATTAAATTTTTTAAAAATTATTATGAAATTTATAATTCCAACCAAATTATTTTTATACTTCATTTATTTTAAGTACTTCCTTGATTAATATAACTGCTCATTTCTTATTTATATTTGAAAAAAATATAAATCAATAAATATTACTTACATTTTTTCAGGGATCCAAACCGAAACGAATATCGGTTCAGGTTCGGATAAAAATAACGGTTCAAGGTTCAGGTTCGGTTCGCAAAAAATAAAAATATTGGTGCGGTTCGAACCTCTAAAAACCGGTTTGAACACTTTTGTAATTCAAACCTATATTAGGATTATGTATAAGGAAATAATAAAAACCTTCATTTTTATTAATTGCACATTATAAAATAATATTTTATTTATAAATATAACAAATAAATATATCAATGATTAATTTTACAATTACTTAAAAATTTTTTATTAAGCCGCACAATTAATATGATTTCAAAATTCGTCTCACTCAAATTACATCTATAAGGAGATAATATAAATTTAATTGTTGAAAAACATCTTTCCACACTAACTTGGGTAGCTGGCATTGCCATGGTATGATATAAAATTTGATGTGTCATTTATAATACTATTTGTAAATAGATTTAATTTTTTTCTAGGCATTATAATTTATAAGCTTAACCCTGAATTCATAGTGAAGAGCGATCGCGATTTCGCTGCGATTTTCATTATAGTGCAGTGCAAAGCGTTATTAATTCAAAATGGTATCCATCCTCAAATTATTATTTTTTTACAGAATAATCTTGAGGAGGAGAAGATTAAACCATCTTAATATTAATAAAACAAAAGCGGGCGAATTTTATGTCCTCTTTCCTAAACTATTAAAAAATGAGCCTAAATTTTTCAACTATATGAGAATGACTAAAGTAATTTTATTCTATTTTATCTATAATTCATTTTAATTTAGGAAACCTTTTATTATACACTCAAACTTGTAAAACCTTTATTACATACCAAATGTACCAATTTTATAAAACAACCTATAAGTGTTGAAGAAAAGCTTATGGTTTGTTTAAGGTAAAAATAAAGCAATTTATTATTTAAATATATCTTTTATTTAGGTATTTAGCAACATAAGGTTCATATAGTATTAAATCAACACTGCTCTTCTGATTCATTCCATGATTATGCTTATATTTATATAAAAATCCTATATTATAGATTTTTATAAATTTAATCATATCTTATTTTGTATGTTATATAAATATCTTGTTTTGTATTTTATATAAATACCTTGTTTTGTATTTTATATATATTATAATAAAAATAAAATTATTATTAATATAGTTTCAAATAACAAAAATATATTCAAAATAATTTTAATCAATAATCTTTTATAATATCAAGTATTCTAGTTGTTATTTCTTTTTTTTCCTGATTGGTACAATCATCTAATTTTTATAAATATTGTTTTGTATTTTATATATATTATAATAAAAAATAAAGTTATTATTAATATAGACTAAACTTATAAAATATATATTTAGACTTTATTAATTACCAAACTCAGTACAAAGCTTAATTAATGCAGGACTTTTGGGAATAATTATATCATTCAATGTATTTCACAAAATGTTTATTTCAAAATAAATAAATACAAAATATATATTTCAAATAACAAAAATATATACAAAATAATTTTAATCAATAATATTTTATAATATCAAGTATTTTATTTGTTATTTCTTTTTTTTCCTCTTAGGTACAATTATCTAATTTTTCTTTTAACATTAAAATAGTGAGAATATATCAGATGATATATTTATTCCCAAAGATTCTGCAGCACTAAATCTTAGTAATGATTCTGGTAATTAATAATATCTAAAAATTTATATTATCTTTTATATAGAATCTATGTCCTGTGTTGGGTCACCTAGTTCTTATTATAAAAGTCCTAAGAGAAAGAACAATGATATTGGTAATTTATATTTTTTGATTTATTGATAAATTTTAAATAGTTGACTATAGGAAATTAATGAAAATAGAAGCAGATAAAGCATTATTAACCTTGGAAATGCTTAAAATGTTAAAAGAAAAATTACATGATTGTACCAAAGAGGAAAAAAAAGAAATAACAAATAAAATACTTGATATTATAAAAGATTATTGATTAAAATTATTTTGTTTATATTTTTGTTATTTGAAATATATATTTTGTATGTATTTATATTATTTGAAATATACATTTTGTGAAATACATTGAATGATATAATTATTCCCAAAAGTCCTGCATTAATTAAGCTTTGTACTGAGTTTGGTAATTAATAATGTCTAAATATATATTATTTATAATGAATGATCTTTATCTTAGAGAAAGTTTAATGACATTGGTAATTTATGTTAATTTGCTTTATAAAAATATTTTCAATAGATGAATTTAGAACAACTATATAGCTTTTTTAGTGACATATTCCTACATATATATTTTATGAGTTTAAACTATATTAATAATAACTTTATTTTTATTATAATATATATAAAATACAAAACAAGATATTTATATAAAATACAAAATAAGATATTTATATAAAATACAATAAGATATGACTAAATTTATAAATATTTATAATATAGGATTTTTATATAAATATAAGCATAATAAGTTTCTATTATGCTTTGCAATATTTGTTGCTGATTTAATGGATTTGGCAAGTTGTCCTAACAATTTTCTGGACTGTAGATATGCCCATTTTGAAAGAATAGGCCAAAGTAGGATACCTACAACCTGTTGCTAAATACCTAAATAAAAAATATATTTAAATAGTAAATTGCTTTATTTTTACCTTAAACAAACCATAAGCTTTTCTTCAACACTTATAGGATGTTTTATAAAATTGGTACATTTGGTATGTAATAAAGGTTTTACATGTTTGAGTATATAATAAAAGGTTTCCTAAATTAAAATTAATTATAGATAAAATAGAATAAATTTACTTTAGTCATTCTCATATAGTTGAAAAATTTAGGCTCATTTTTTAATAGTTTAGGAAAGAGGACATAAAATTCGCCCTCTTTTGTTTTATTAATATTAAGATGGTTTAATCTTCTCTTCAAGATCATTCTGTAAAAAAATAATAATCTGAGGATGGATACCATTTTGAATTAATAACGCTTTGCACTGCACTATAATGAAAATCGTTGCGATATCGAGGCGAAATCGCAATCGCTCTTCACTATGAATTCAGGGTATTTAAAAAATGTTGTAAAATGTTTGCAATATACTACTAGTAATAACTTACACATTATTTTATAAGCATAAAATTATAAGACTCGAACCGGTTCAGAGGCATTTTAGCGGTTCGGTTTAGGTTTGGCTCGAAATTTTTTTAGAGGTTTAGGTTCGATTAAAAATACCGGTTTTTAACGGTTCAGGTTCGGTTTGGATCCCTGCATTTTTTTCCCCTAAAAATTTCATAACTTAATAAGTTATAAGCTATATTATTAATTTATTATAATTAATAAATTTAAATTCGAAAAAATTATTTGGACCATTATTTTTACATTAAAAATTACTTATTAACTCGTTGGCTTATACCGTAACGAATTGCTATTTTCATTTTCAAATTTATGCAAGATTCAGATTGTCACCTCGTCTCCATCTTCGGAGCGATATATTTCACTATAAATTCGGTCTTAATCCGGTTGTTTTTAAAAATCGACCCTAATCGGGCTTTTTAGCAACCCAAAACTCTAGGTATGGCCCTATTTTTATTTTAACTTTTAGTAATCGATAACAAATTGTAAATTTCCCTGTCTATTAATTTACTGTTTTTTTTAATGTAAAAGGGTGAATAGGACCCCCTCCCCACCCTAGGGATACGGTTTTAACCTTAAAAATAAATTAACGTGAATGTATTGAATGTAATCTTCGTAGAAAGGTTGATATGAAAACTTGCCTTTGCAGAAATTTCATCAAATTATATTTTTGAAAAAGAGACATTCCATGCCGATTTAAAGAATTGTTTTTCATAGAATCTATCTCCCTTGAATTAATTTTGTAGGCTCAAAAATCAATATTCTTTTAAATATTTCTATGGTATATCTCTAATTGGTAGATTGACTTACGACTAATTAATTAGTATCTTTTTTTTCATAATTTCCTCTTTTATGAGAGTTAATAAAAATCTCAGGAATATGGATATTTGTTATCTTACCTCACCCATTTTAAGAAAATAAAATTTATATAAATTTATTAAATTGTAAATATAAACGTTTTTTAAAAAAAAGCAGACGATTGTCAATTTTTTTTTATCACTAATTAACATTCAGTAACTACCCTTTTCTTTGCTATAAGTGGTATGTCAACTTTTTAAATGTTTGAGTTTTGAGCATTATAGAATCGGAAATCTTTCCAAATAATTTTTTAATTATTTGTTTCCGGTTCTTATAAATTATAAAGGGATTCTACTTCCGCTATTAAATTTATGTGGTTTAAGGGGTTCCAGGTTTAAAAAAAATTAAAATCTTAATCAATTCTAAATATATTACAGAAAGATAAAAAAAATATTAATTAGATACTGCAGATCTCTCAAACTCGGATATCCCTCGAGATTTTAGGCCGTCATCCCACGAGGATGCGTTAGCAGAGTCGAAAATTATTGAAAAACAAAAAATGGACGAATTTTCTAATATGGTTGCCCCTACGTTATCGGAAAGCGATTACGGACCTGATACTAGCACGCTTGAACGTAATTAATATTCAATACAAGATTTTTTTTCTTTTTTGAGATACAATAATAGATTTAAATTTTATAAATTTAATAATTCAGCAGAACAAATTACAAAATTTATAATAATTACCATTTGTAATGTATATAATTTTCCAGGTCGATGATATATTTTCAGGTTTATCCATGTTTAGATAAGTGATCGCTATAATTCCACTTCTCTACATAGGTTCTCTTAAATCTTTCTCGGGGTCTTTTCATATGTTTTCCATAACAGTTTATCTCTTCACCCAATTGTTCTATATCATCACCATCTGCTCAATCCTTATCACTCTAATTTCTCTTCTCTACATTCTGTCATCGTGAGATTAACTATTCAAACCTATTTTTTTCACCTTTACTCAGGCTCTCTTAGATCTTTCTTAGGCTTTTGTCATATATTATATTACCATCATAATATATCTCTTCACCCAATCCTTCTATACTGTCATCATCTGCTCAACCCTTATCACATCTATTGCTTCAGATTCAATTTTTTGTTTGTCTCTCTTAGAAGCTTAAAATTTTTCTCTGGGATCTTGATTGCCAGCGGCAAATTCTTTTTTTATTGGCTTATCGCTGCACACTAAATTTCTGCTGTTTTAAGAAATCAATGCGTCGAACTAAACATTTTTTTAATTAGGACTTTATTGAATACCATTTAAAATTGAATGTCAATATTTCTAAATATTTTCTCTCTAAAATTAAGAATCTCTTTTACCATAATGTTGTATATTATAAATAATTATTTTTAATTCCTTATAGATTATTTATAAAAAAAGTGGTATCCAACGTTAATCGGCTTGAAGAGACCTAGATATTCTATATATTCATTTTTATTTGGTTTCTCTTATCACCATCATTGGTCATTGTCTCGCCAGCAAACTTCTATTCATTCTCTCAGCGTTCCATCACCCAAACAAAATTTTCCTATCTAAAATCACCCAACTTTCTATATTCAATTACAAACATATTTTATGCTACCTTTTTCTTGCATGTTCTACAAATTTCCATCTGCAAATCTCACAATCATCATTATAATCCATTTTCGATAGCATATTGACGATATTTTCTAATTCTTCGCCTTTAATTATGACGTTTTACATATAAGTCCTTCAACAATCATAATGTTTCTGCAAAATGCACACTACCATTCAGCGTCTACAGGGCAGGTTTTTCACTGGTTGCAAATCCCCTTCAAAAACCTATGCCTTCCCCCTAAAAAATTTTCACTGCCTACGCTAGCATTTTTTACTTATTTTTAATTTCACCTTTTTAATTATAATACTCTTTCAGAAAATTTAAATAGAATAACTTAAATTATTTTATCTCTACTACCAACTATCGATATATAGAGGAGTTATTTTTTAGATAATAAATTCAATAAAAACCCCCATTATTTACAATGAATTCATTATTATAGCATTATGTGATTGCTGAAAATGTCTAAACCTTTTAAATTACATTTGTTAGAATAGCAGAAAGTTTTACTTGAAAAATAATGTCTATGATCTTTTGTAATATATAGATTTGCTTGATGAAATATATTATAATAGGTCTAAAATAAAAGTATTAATTTTTAGAGCAATAAATTTTGTCCTATTTGATCTCAAAATTTAATAAATATCCCCTCCCCCATCCAACCCCCATTAAAGCCGCCTACCACTCCCCTTTAAAAAGGATGCAAACTGCTCCTACCCCCCCCCCCGTTTATGTAGACGCTGCTACCATTATCAGATTCTATCTTTACCATCTATCTTTGTTTCTTATATACCAAGGGAATTTTTATACAACCGATATCTTTCATGACACCAACTTTATTAGCTAACTTTTATAAAAGTGTTATTTACCCCAGACCACAGGAATAAAATCCTTTGGCCCACTCTCCAATTACCTAAGCCAGAATGATAGATTTTGAGGTTGTTTATTTTATTATAAATGCAATTTATCTTTAATATTTATAGCAGATCCAGATTGCAATTCGGCTACATGGCTCATGGAAAACGCTCTCGGGGGATATGGTTCCCAACACGAAAAGCAGACAATTCATGCTAGACCAGAAGATAATACTGATGAGCAGGCAATAAACCCTTTACCGAAACAGAAAATAATTAAAAGGCGTCACGAGCTGGATTATATCAAATTATCAACACTTTTATCGCTTCCGGAAGAAATTAGGCGTGATTTTAGGGATGATATAGCAATTATTGTAGTATATTTCGAATGAAATATAACAAATATAAAAATAAATTCCTCATAAAAAATGGTTATGTAATGGAGGAAAAATAAAACTGTGATAATGATATATTATTTATCTATTAGTCATGAATTATTTTCTTGCCATGTTACATTATGTATTAAAATTTATATTAGAGTATTAACTATTAACGAGATGATCATTAAAACGAGTTTTTCACATTTTTAAGGGTAAAGCAATTGAAATGAATGATTTTTACGCTAATTTTTTATGTAAATTGTCTTTTATCTACAACTAAAATTATACTAAATTTTTTTTGTTTATGCAACCAAATTATAACGAATTCATTTTGTATATCTACAACCAAATTTATACAATTTTTTTTCAAAAAAAATACTAATTTCAATTTGTCAACCTCCCTTGAAATCTTTAAGTTGTTCATGATTTTTAATACAAAAAAATCGAAAATTTTATCAAAATAATATTCTCCTAATACATAATTTCGCCGAATCTCGATATCAAATAATCGCTTTAATTATAATTGAAGAATATTAACCTTGATTCTCTTCTTTCGAACTATATTTAACTTACTAAAAATATATTAAAAGAAAATCTTACCTAAGACATTATCTTCTTGTTTTATAATAACCAATGCTCACCATTTATAATTATCAAAAAAATATATTTATTTTGTATTTCATAAATTTAAATTAAATGCATAGCTATTCAATGCAAAATAAATATGGCGCTTTAGTAGTATCAAAATTCATTCTTTTTTAAAAACAATTTTTGTATAGGAAATATAAAAAAATATTTGTTTTTTTTTGAAGCTAATAAATTTCAATTAAATTAGAGACTCATAAAACAAGAGTCTACAATTTCATTCAGCCACGTTATTATTTTAGTAAACGAATGCTATGAAAGTAGTTTACGTAAAATTTTATTTTCTAGCTAAGTAATAAAGTGAAAATATTTTCTTATAATGGGAGTTTTATATCCTTGCAAATCAATCATTTTATACCTGAAATAAATTTATATACATTTTAATCTTCCATCATTGGTTAAAAATTTACATTGGATTTTGTTACTGCAAGATGCTTTCTTAAACATGCGTAAATAATTCATATTGGTATTATCAAGTTAAAAGGAACTGTCAAAACAATTCATATATATAGTGCGTTTTTAAAAATTGTGATTTTGCTGATAATGCATTCCCGCAAGTTAGAGAAACCTACTGATTTCTTACAAGATTGCAATAAACTTAATATATTATAAATGACTCAAAAGTTAATGGCAAATACCTTTCTCGTAAATTTTAAATTTAAAAAAAGACGCACTCAAAAATTTACTTAAAGTTGAAAAGGATAAATCAATTTTTTATAGTTATACAATTCTTATTTACATACAAAATATTTATAAAAGTCAAATTATAAACCAATATAAAAGGTTTTGAAAACAATAAAAATTTAATTAAAACTACTGTAGAATTATAAAAAGGTGGAGATGAACTAATCTAATTCTCACGTGGAAATCCAATCACTAAATTTTGGCCAGAAAAAGTTCTGATATTACTCTGGTTAAAATTTAGATGTAGTATTTAAATTTATCTTCAGATGTGAAAACTTGTCTCATTGTAACTTCTTACAATTATCTCCCTCGTCATTCCTAAAATAGATATCGATTAGCGAAGGTCAAAGGTTCGGGTTTAAATCAATCCACAAAACCTAAAAATTAGCTGCTTTCAGATAGAGCAAAATGGAATCAAGTTTTTTTGTACAAAATGTTGATATTACGAAATTAAGAATTACCTTCTTATCATAAAGTAGAGCTCTGAATCTAGTATCAAGTTTTAGCTAAAATTTAAATGGTTTTAAAATCATTCTATAAAATAATATTTTACTATTAGCTATATGTGTTTAAATGTTATTATTATTGAATTATATATAATATTAAAAAAATCAGATATTAGAGGATTTCCAATATAAAAAATATGTAAAAATTTATAATATATTCATAAAATAAATCGATAATAATGCACTATTTCATTTTTCTTCATTGTAAATAATGGTTCAAAATTTCTTTTTGATTAGAATTTAAATTTTGGATTAAGGACTGGAAAATGGGACCAGCTTGGGAATTGTACATTTGAGTGAACAAATCTTTCAGGTATATTTCTGCGTCATCTAAATATATATTCCAAAATGATTAAATTGTTAAAAAACCTATCTTATTATGCGATTGTAAACCCATCGTAGTTTTATCACAATGCATTGATTTTTACATTCATTCATTAAAACTGATTTGGACAACTTATCGTCGACTAAGTATTATAGTGATCTATAGCCACCCTTTTGCAGCTTTTGATAAATGAATTATTCAGTAATATATTCCTATACATCTATAATAAAAATGTTAAAATAAAATTGAGAGTAATCCTCCTTCATCACTATGATCTCATATTAAAAGAACTAATCTTTTTTCTAAAATCTTTCAAAGAATTTGGATATGGAACACTATAATAATCAGTCAACGACATAGCAGTTTGCCAATCAAAGCCCAAATTTTATTAAAATACATATTTACCTGTTTTTTTTAGTAATATAAATTAATTCCAACATATTTCTACCCCTTTTCCTAAGCTATCGCCTTCGAGGAGGCTGGTTTCAGGAAAAAAACGCAAGCCGAGAATCGAACTCTAATCAACTGATATGTTTACCTCAGATTAAACCACACGTATTTTTTAAAAAACACGAATTTTTTCGATAATTCGTGTATTCGTTAAATTAAAATATTTGCTTATCAGAGAAATAAATGTTTTTTTTAAAAAAAAAATCAGGCATAGTGAACAAAATTATGCCAATATTAGTTTATAATTGGCGCTTTTATTTAATAATTATTTGTAAATAATGAGGTGTTAATTGTTAATTTTTTTTTCTCTTAAAACATGGTCAAAAAGACAAAGAAATTATTGATGGGAGATATTATTTAAGAAAAATAAATTTTGATAAATAAATGTTTCGTGTAGTTTAAAATATTGAATGGATTATACTCTACAACGTTCAAAGCTGATTCACTTTTGTAAGAAATAATATATTAAAATGCAGCTATCTTAAGCTCTCTTTGTTTAACAATTATATCTTAATACATTGAGCAAATCAGATTTAGACTTAGCCACAAATTAATGTTAATGCAAAACCTTCTACTTTATCGGACAACAGAGCATTCACGACAACTTGAATTAACGGTTCCATAAAGGATGGAGTCAGCTAAAAAATAATAAAATAAAATATGTGGGTTTAAATATCGATATAATGGAATGTTTTTGTAATTTAAACGTCAAATTTTTCATATAAAAATGATCATTTTTTGTAAAAAAAGTCTTTTAACAAAATTAAATTTTTGGTTTTATTATATAAAACAACATACATATATTCAATGTAAAATTTTTGTTAAAAAAAATAATGATATATTTAAAAAGCCTATTTTATCAAAATCAAAAGAAATTATAAATAAAAAGCATCTTAGCACTGGAACTCTACTTTAAATGCGCTAGTAAAAGGTAGAGAAGTTAAAAGAAGCATCACAAAAATTTGGAATCGATTCGATAAAAATCACGATTTTATAAATTTAAATGGCATTTTTAGATTTCTCCTAAAGAGTAATGTAAAATATAACTTTTGTATTTTTTCGTGGTAATTATATGACCTTCATTTAGTAAAATAATTGAAAATAGTTTCTTACTTTTTGTTTAAATATTTTTTTAAGCTTTAAAATACATATTCTACGTTTTAAGTTAGGTATTTACTATATTTTTAGGCGTTTAAGAATAGACTAAATAAAGTATTTCGCCGATTTCCTAGTTTTTAGCCGAAAACTATCAATTTGACCTCGGGGTTTTTCTTAAAAAGATAGCAGCTTAAATTTGGAAGAAACTAATATAAATTAACACGCCATAATGTTAACGGATTTTCTCCAGCAGGCCCCTGAAGATTGATTCGACATTTAACCATTACTCAACTATAGTTTTAAGCAACGTTCAAAATTTGTTCCCATGAGAAATTTTGTATAGAGATTTAACTATAATATTATTTAAATTCTGTTTAATTTTTTATTTACAAATTTAAATATGGATTTTTAACGTGTGTTTGATATAATTTTAGTATAATTTATTAAATACCTGTTGTTTGGTTGATGTCCACAAAAGATGCAGGCATTTGTAAACGGTTACATTTTCGCTAAAGTCCTTTTTAAGAGGCAAATTCTTCAAAATCACTGGAACAAACTTAATAAATTTTATAATAGTTTACATTTTTCAACAAATGTTATTTTTGATTTAAAAAAAAATACGTTTTATCTATGCCCAAAGTTGATTTTGGTTTATAGAATTACTTTCTTTGAAATATAACGATATATTCTTGCGTTATAAAAGTTAAAAATCAGCCGTGGACTACGGTTAAATGAAATATCAAAGAAAAATAGTATTTGAGATTATTGAAGAATTAAAATTTGATAAATACAAATGCGTTAAAAATAAATAGAAGAAATAATTATTAGAAAAGATGAAAAAAATTTTTTTTAGGGAAATGCTAAAATTCAAGTAATCGATTAAATTTGTCATATTAAAAACTTCATTAAAATCGCTCATTCTGATAGGTTGTGACGCCATGATAAACCGACATAGACAGGCTATTAAATTGTCCCGAAGCATCAAATCGTCTGCACTCACCATGGGGGTTTTCATATTGGAAATGTGTTTTTCGATTAGATCTTCAATCTTGAACTTGATTAATGGCCATTTTCTGTTTAAACAAATTAGCGCAGAGTATTAAAATCAGACACATGCACGGCCCGGATTTTATATATAATATTTAAGGGCAGTACCCGGAGCTGAAAGTCTCTGATAAATATAAAACAAAAGATTTTTTTTATAATTTCCAGCCTTTTATAGGGAATATTATGGGAAATTTAATAGAGTAACTTATGAATAGTCTGTTTTTGGAAAAAATTCCCTTATGAAATCAGAGTTGTTAAAGTATCTGTATCTAGATTCATTTGAAAAGTATCTTTTAACAACTCTGATTGAAATAGTTAACATCCAATTGCCTCGATTATTTTTATGAAAATCGGTTATCGACCTATATCGGATAAAAAAAATTTATTTAAAGGAATAACTTATAAATATTTTTTTAAAATGTAAATTTGATTTTTTACGATTCATCACTCAAGATACGTGGATTGTTGAGTACCAAGCAGCCCATACCGAAGACAGCGTTGCTCAAAACCTCCTTATTATTACTATCGTTGGTGGCTGAACTTGTGTATGTTGAGCGAGTGAGAGCATCCATGATCAATCTATATATGGTCTCTATTTCCATCTGTTTACCTTCCCAGTCGATGTCAGATGGGATGGATGAACTGATATCGGCTAAAATTCCCAGAAAGAAAGATCTTTGATTAGGCGTATTAGAGTCGAAAGAATCGTCCCCTTCGAATTTTGACGAATCATGAGCGCCATTTTGAATATTTTGATGAGGCTTTAGCATCTTATATTAAGTAAAATAATTTCGAAAATTTCCAAAGTAAAAAAAAAACTTTCTCTGAACTAAACAAATTGAAATCAGATTAAAGAATGTTGTAAATATTATAATAACAAAAACTTAAACCTTTTCGCGTCCCATAATGGTGCTGTCAAAAACCTAAATATAACCGATTTTTAAAAAAAACGACAAAATCACGAGTTTATCCAAAGGAAATTTAACAAAAGCCTCGGGATTTAGCGTATAGATAACACCAATTTCGAGGCTTATGAAATATTATTTTGGCTAAAATTTGAAGGTATTCGACAGCCCCAACCCCTATTATTACTTAAAATTTTTATATTATTAAATAGAGTATATTTTACGCATATAAAAAGGCCGCTGATGCTTTTTAGACTCATTATCTTAAAAAACCGAAATTAGTTGTATTTTATAACTTAATTATATTAAACGGGTGTCATGTGGCATCATTGGGCAAATTTCATTATCATTCTTTTGGATATCCTGTTGGAAGAAACTTGGCAATAAAAAACTTATTTAAAACTCACTAAAAAAAATTTATGCTACGGTTCCACTGACCATTTCCTGCGAAACAAAAATAGTAATGGGAAAAATATTTTTTCATTAAATTTAAGTTTCACGCCACATTACCCGGTAGTAATGAAATGATTATGTTCATCTGCAGAATTATAAATTGGTAGCTTTATATGGACCAGGATTGGCCAACTCTAAAAAATAATATTTGATCATATTTCGATCTAACACTGATGTGCTATAAAACATATTAACACGAAGAGATGAAATTGATCATTTACTGTATAAGATAGGTTTTTTTAAAAAGTTCTAAAACAATAATAAAAAACAAGTAAATAAAAATGTTCGTTTAAAAAAAAAGAGAAGGTTTTAACGAAAGACTTGCAAATTGAAAAAAATATTTCAGGCCCTTCTGTCTAGTCTGAACTGACATATTTTTTTGAAATAAAAATTATTAAACACTGCACTAATCCAAAGAAAAAAATTTTAATTTTTTGATTTAAAAAAACTTTTCTAATTTTAGGATGAGCCAGGCTAATATTTTTCTGAAGATTTTAACTCTACAGCCTGACTTTGGGTTCAACTTTTTTTGAAACAATATATAATGTGGATTAGGAATACCATTTTTTTGGTAATATCGTTGAGAAAGTAGGGTAGATATTGTCTTCCTTCCCCAAATTTTTTAGCCCCTATGCAGGTGAGCATCGATGGGATTACTTCATAAGCGGCCTGGATGATCAATTCATCGGCTTCCGTCTCATCTAGATCGTCTTCTCCATCGTGATGATCACCACGCTGACGTTCATTATCGTCTAAATAACGTAATAAGTTTTAGATCATATTAAGGATTAAAAAACGTTGTTTTATAAATTACTTATTACAAAACTGGAAAATATAATCTAGCAATATTTTATTTTGAAATTTTAATTATCGTGATCATTTTATAACTTTCCCATTTAAATAACTTTTAGGGTGCATCCAAAGTCAAAAAAAATTCTCGCATTTAATAAATAAATTATATTTTTTCAAATTTTTTTTAGATCCCCTAGGTATAACGGAGCGCCTTGTTTTTTATTGAGTAATGTCTTACATAACTTTTTATATTGATCGCAAGTATTTTAAATATAATTCTAGGTGATTAAAAAAACAAAATATTTTATAAAATATTGAATCATTACGAAAAAAAATATTTTTAAAAAAACGGTACATGTAGAATTCAATTCAATCTTTATTTAAAATATGATTGTTTATAAATTTTAAATGTTAAAGTAATAATACTTTAATTAAAATAGTTTTTTAAGAGCTCATAATATTTATATAAATATGTCAATTTATAAAATAAATTTTAATAATAAAAAAATAATAATTAGAAACGTTATATTTTTCTCATCAAGAACCTCACTTATAGTAAATGATGCGTTATGTTCAATCGGGGGGAGGGTGGGGGGGGGGGGGGTTATATACAAAAAAACCAATAAGTGAAATTTTTAAATATGGAGCGTTATAATGATAAAGCTATTAGAAATATTAGAAAAAAATATGTTGCGGCTTATATTTCAAAAATTATTAACGCTATAAAGAATCAGATATAATTTCAATAACGTTAAATAACACAACGCTTAGAGATAACGCGTTTACTATAAATGATGCCTGAAGTTTAAAAAAAAGTTTAATCGGTTAAAATTAAAATGTTAAATATAATCTTATTTAAAAAAAAACTAATTATACCGCCGATATCGTCTGCTTTCATATCGTCGTTATCATCAATGAAGTCGGATGATTCTTGTTGACATTTCAACTAAGGTTTATTTATTTAAATAATATGTTCCATTTAGTAAATCACGAATTCTATCCATTTTAAAATAAACTACCAGTATAAAATAATATGTATAATTCATATTTTGTAAATTTTTTTATTCATATTAAAAAGATTCTAGCAGTCATTTTTATTAACACAATTTTAAATATACACTAAGTTAAGATTATCTTTGAAATGAATATATGATCCAACCTATAAGGGGTCATAAATATGGAATGGAAGTTTGATTGTTTTGCTTATTTAAATAAAATCAAAAACTTTTCCATATAAAATTAGCAAAAAAAAAACTTTTTTATTGATGGCGCGCTTAACGATCGTGCAAATAGGATCTAAAACGGTAGACTGAGTCATATGGCTCCCGCCATTTTTGAAAATTTGATTGATGGCTTCGAAGGCCGAGCATACCACGTCCTTATTTTCATCAGTCCGAATTATTTCAAGGAATTTGGTGAGGCATTCGTATGACATCATGTTGAAAGCTTAAAATAAAATTAATATATATTTTTTCGTGTTGATTTTAAGCAATTACACCATCCATTCCTGGACCATGAAAAAGTATCAACTTTTAATCATCATATCTTAGTTTTATGGAAATGCCGATAATATAACTATACCTCGCTATTCACAATCAGCTATAGCAATGAATTCATTCCCTATCATCATAATAGAAATAAAAAATATTCACCGAAAAGTGCGGTCTGGTCATTATCCACTGCTGCGAAATTTTTTTTGTTTCCAATGGCATCAATGGAATTCGCCTTTTTCGAGATGGATAGGGCCAAACAAGAACAAAAATTGGCTAGACATTTGATAGTTTCGATTTGAACGTCTATGTAAGTGTGATTGAGCATGGGTAATATAGTCACGTATAGTGGTTGGAGGAAAGGTATGAATGATTTGCTTATAGGGAGATAAGTAATACATTGCAATTTAAAATTTTATTTTCCTAGAGAAGTTAAAGTTCAAGAAGAAATATATTTTGCTATATAAAATAGATAACACCATCTTAAGACATTCATTAAAAGAATAGATCAGAGTTCGAGTAATTTACAATTTAATAAAAAAAATGTTATGAATAGAGAGGAGAAGAATAAGGGTTAAAACGGTTAAAAATAGAAATTAGTATTATTATCGAAGTTTAGAACTGTAAACAATAACTCCCGAAACCAGAACACACTTTTAAAATTTTAAGGAAAAGATTCTAGCAAAAGTATGATTAATTTATCTATATTGTATAAAAAGCATTTTAGGGCTTTATTATTCAATTTTTGTTACCCATTTTGCTTGCAACAGGAACTCAAATTTAAGAACCGAAACCAACTTAATTTTGGAAACCAAAACCACTTTATTAAGATATCAAGTTAAGAAGATAGCCAATTTATGCCATGGACTGTGCCTAAAAAACCGGCGCACTGCTGACCGTCACCGCTGTTACGCAAGGTACTAACAACTGATCAGTGCTCCAGGTTTTGTTAAATATTTAAATAAGTAATTATAAACACAGATCTCCTCATTATTGATTTGCATTTTTATTTTATATTAAAATCCTAAAAAACATTCTAACAATGAAAGATCATTAATATAAAAAATAATGGTTCAAGTTCGGTTAGTAAAAAAATAACATCGTTCGGTTTGAACTTTTAAAAACCGGTTCGAACCAGTCCGACAAACTCATCAGAATTATGAATAGAGGAGTGAATTTTTAATTTTTATTATTATTCCCTAAAAATTAATGTTGAGCAATATAAAATTATTCAAGATTCTCTTCTATCAAATTAAATCTATAAGGCGAGATAAATTCTATGGTAGCTTGGGTAGAGGGCACTATCGAATAGAAATATATAATACCTTAAAAAAATAGTTATTGATACTTATCAATCAAAATTGATCATTAATAATCTTTAAAAGAGTTAGTATATAAAAAGATTCATAACAGTTAACACACCTTTTTAGAGGTTCGATTCAAGTGTCAAATTTTAAAATTGATAAATCATAGTAAAAATAAAACTGGCAAAAATATAATATAAAAACTAGGCATTTAAGTCTGAACGATAAAAATATTATATCGTATTCGACCCCATCTCCATTTTGCGTAATAAAAAAAAATCTCAACACCAGACCATGTGATAAACAGAAGTAAAATTTTTGTAAAAAAATGTAATGTATTAAGAAATGATTACCCAAGATTGGACGCTATTTCTCCTAAATGCAAAAGTGCGTTCTCTTTCTCCTCTATATATGCATTTTCAACGGCACAACTTTTAAATATTTTATAAAAATATAATTTTTTAAATATATGGACATAATCCAGTATTTCTTTAAGAATAATTAATGCGTGCCTTACTCATCTGAGTAGGTTATCAATTTAAGAGCTAAAATATTGTTTAAATAATATGATGATTATTTAATTTTATTTTGAAATTATCTTATAAAAAATACGTACCTATTATCTGATTCGTTATCACTACATTCATCCTCTTCGTCTTCCATATCGTCTGCTTCTTTTTTATCATCGCCATCTTCGTCAATAGTATCGAATATTTTTGTGAGCGCATTTTTATCCTCTTTCCCAGCTTTTACTTGCTACAAGTTAAAATATATTTAAATAAATCATAATATTATCACAATTTTCGCTTACTTAAATTAATTATAAATTTATAATTATATAATGAATTTATGATTATTCTTATATTATATCTTTTTTGAAAAAATTTATATCTTGCAATTTATATTTTAATATATTATATTAATTTTCATTTTAAACTTTAATTTAACATAAAAATAAATTTTTTCTTCAAATATAATAAAAATTCTTCTTCTTCTTAGTATCACATCTATTTTTATAGGAAAACAAAGCGCTTATGAAAAAAAATGATATAATTTATTAAAATATTGATTTAAAAATTATAAGGAAAGTTTACAATAGTAATAATTTAAAGATTATAATTGTGCTAAATATCGATTTTATTAGAAAGCATAGGGTTATTATTGTTTTTTTATTTATTATTAGATAATTAACTATTAATTGTAAAAAAAGAAATATAATTTGTTTTTTTTTCTCCTTAACGCGTAGAATTATGATGTTTATTATTATATTTTTTTTAATGACTATGTTTTAGTTGCAGAGAAAGATATTTTTATATATAGAAAAAAAAAGAAATAAATTCATTATTAAGATTTTATATTTTTAAGAAAAAAGATAGAAATAAAAATTATTATTTGCGTTTGATACCAGTTAAAAGAAATAGAATATAAGTGAAAGGAAAATAATAAATATTGTTTTAAAAGAAAGAAAAATATAAGTTAAAATATAATAAAAAAAGAAACAAGGTGAAAACTTATTAATAATCGTTTATAAATATTGACAAACACATAAAAAAAAAGTTTTCATTGACAATTCATGTCTGGATTTGGAAAAGCAAAAAAAAATGTAATTTAAAAAAAAAAGAAGATTAACCATCATTTCGGTTGTTTGTGTCAAGGATTCCGTGAAATGAGGTAGAAGACTGGGAAGGAAGGGAGCCATTCCTTCTTTCATGAGGGCTGACAGACCACCCAATAAACCGTATCTATTTTAATGTGTAAAAAATTTGCAATAAAAAATATATATGAAATACAAGAGTTAACGAATAAAAGAAAAAAGAATTATTGAAAACAATAAAATATCTCCTTTACACGACACTTTTAAGGTCCGGGTCTTGCTTGGTGGGCAGAATTTTGATAGAGAATTCGAGGCATTTATTAGTAAACGGGGCGAAATTCCCACGTTGTTTCAAACATCTGCTCAACATATTCAAAGTATCTGCCAAAATATAAAATACATAAATAGTTTTAAGATATCCAGGATCGCGTAAAATGGAGCAAGGCGATTGGAAGGGAAAATGACCTATCCGGGTAAACCTGAAAAGGGCCACTAAACGGACGAAGAATCTTAATTATTTTTGAAAAAGCTCAATTAAGTGTGTGAAGTGTGGGGTAAACAAATCATATGTGATTAAAGAAGAGATGTGTGGCATATAGGGTTTATAAGATGCAGGGATATAAAAATTAAATGGAGAATAGTACAAATTTTAACCCGACCCGCCTGCTCACGAAAGACAATATTTTGATCATGCTTAAAATGAATTTTTTCAAAACTTTGCTATACTTTTACCATTTTTTGAATTAATTCTATCAGAGCTTTTATTTCTCTAATTCCATATTAATAACACAAAATAATTATAATTTGTAAATCAAAATTTTTATTTGGAAAAAGAAGAATGTCCAATTTTTTTTATTACAATTGTGTTCGCTTTTCCTCAAAAGCGATTGGCTATAGAAAATTACCTTTCCAGAATTGTTAAAGGATCGAATCAAAAGATCGCCGATCCTGGATTCGAACCTAAATTTGTCAATTTTCTCAGATATAGAATCCTGACCTTAAATTGAAGATCGTGATGGAGATCATTTTTTTTAAATATTCGATCCCGATCTATTTAAAAATTAATTTCTTAAAAAGTAATAAATAAAATACAAATTTTGAAAATTAAATTAAAATATTATTTTTTAAAAAAAATATCTATCTACATCATATTTTATCAACCACCATTCCACCAGATATAAGTGAGAATGAGAATCTTTTACCATTTCATAATTTACGTTTATGTGAAACGGATGAAAGAAACGATACAATGATCTATGCAAAATGCTCTTTATGCAAATACAAAATATCTTCTTCAAAGATTAGTAGTTCAAACCTAAAGAGACATTTACTAGTAATTAATTCTTTTAAAAATACAATTCTTATTATTTATGAAGAGAATAACAATATGCTTATAATAAAATTATTTACAATAATTAATAAAATATTTATTAATGTGTTAATCTTATTTATAATAATCAGGAATTTTAATAGTATTATTAATATTAGCCCATTCATAGCATGGATATGGAAAAGAGACTAGTATTTTTAATGAGTTGAAATTAATTTTTAATATTTAAAACCTTTTAACCACATATAAATAATATACTTAAAATATTTTACAAAATTTGTGGTGAACCATTTATTTATAAGTTTTTAAATGCTAAAAAAAGCCACATTATATTCATATCATAGGAAAATATTTTCTCACTTTTGCCCATATAAACTTGGACAGCTTTTAATAGTAGACAATTGTAAACTTGAATTTTTAAGATAACCTATATGACCCTTTTAACCATATATAAATAATATACTTTATTATGTATAACAGAATTTGTGTTGAACCATTAATTCATAAGTTCTTAAATACCTAAAAACTCAGTATTATTCATATCATAGGAAAATATTTCCTCACAGCTTTTAATAATGGTAAAAGAAAATATTGTAAACTTGAATTTTTAAGATAATCTATATGACCTTTTTAACCACATATAAATAATATACTTTATCATATATAACAAAATTGGTTTTGAACCCTTTATCATTTATACAGGTTTTACATTGTACATTATTTTTTTAACTTATATTTTAAAAAATTTCCATCTAAAATTTTAAAATTGAGATTTGATTCAGGGGAAGTTATTTTCATCCAACTCTGTTACATAATATATTTTTCTTTTATAAAGAGAAAGCACAGTGAATTCAAAAATAAAATTGCCAAACACTTAAATGAATTCTCTACACAAACAAATAAATCTCTACAAAAGCAAAGTGGTACTGGTTGCAGATCCAAACAAACCAAATTAAATTTTTATAATCTTAACATGCCATCAATATCGCAAAAAACAGCAGACAAAGTTATAATGGAGTTTATTATTGACACCTTTCAACCACTTTCACTGGTTGATGATCCTTCGTTCCAGAAAATGATTAAAACATTTTCTCCAACGACACAAGTTATATGTCGTCAAACTCTGGGCAACAAAATATCTACTGCCTTTACAGATATGACAACAAATCTTATAAGAGATTTGTCTGAAGTCTCCTATGTATGCACCAATGCTGATTGTTGGAGTGGTCATCGAAGGTATATTATATTTATATGAATTTTATAATATTTTATTTTAGGGCTTTTATTGGAGTTACTGTCCATTGGCTGGACCCATTAACCCTCAAGAGAAGATCAGCAGCTTTGGCACAGAGGCGTAGAATTGGAAAGCAAACATATAATGTTTTGGCTAAGGAAATTATGGGTATCCACAAGACTTATAAAATTCTTAATATGGTGGTGAAGATGGTAACCGATAATGGAACCAACTTTGTAAAGGCATTCAAGTAATATTTATATTTAACAGTAAAAATTATTTAAAATAATTTTTTTTATTTTTTCTAGAGTATTTGGAGAAAATGAAGAAGATAGTGAGGATATAGAATTAATAAATTTGGATGACATATTATCTGTTGATGACTCAAATAATCCTTCTATCAGCCTACCAAAACATCAATGTTGTTATTGCCATAATCTGAACCTTATTGCAACCAAAGACGCCGAGGATCAGAAAATGATATTAATAAGAACAACATTTGCTAAATGTTTTGCCTTAATTAACAAACAAAATATGTGCCTCAAAATGGCTGATATTCTAAGGTAATAAATTTTTATGCAATTTTTTTATAATAATAGATATAGATATCTGCAAAATTTATTTAAAAAATTGCCATGATCTGGCAAATTTAGTAAAATATTTTTAACAAATCTGGTCTACTAAGCCTCTGATATCTAGTAAAATTTTAATGGGCCATAAAAGGCATTAAAAATTATTAAATTTAATCAATATTATATAGATGATTGGTGAGGCTTAATTGTAAAATTTGAAAGGGCTAACTTTTGCAGATATTTGATTTATATGAATGAACACTTATTTAATAATAAATTAATTATCATTTATTAATATAGATTTCCTTCACTATATGATGACAGTAATATATTGGCATCAATAATTCACCCAAAGTTTAAGCTCAATTGGCCTTTTATTAATCTGCCACGAAATTTGTTGCTAAAAGAAAGGTTAATTGCCCACTTAGAAAATATACAGAGTCATGCAGATGCAGATCCTTCAAATGAATGCATGGATGAAATCGATACCTTTTTGGGGAAAAATTCGTCACAAAATGCTTTTTCCATTAATAATGTTTTTTATTCTAATGATGATTCTGTGAATATTTTTAATAATTATGTTAATTTTAAAAAAAACATTTATTGAATATAACACAGGAGCGCTTGTTTAGTAAAGCTAAATAGGGAGGGTGTGGAGGTTGGGGGGGGGTGCAGGGGGACAAATCCCGTACTTAATGAAAAACGTGGTTGTTTAAATGATGATAATTTAGAAAAAATTTTATTAAAGGCTAATTTTAATTATAAATAAATATATTCTAATTGTTATACTTATATTATATTATTCAATTACAATAAATTTATACCATATTTAATTAATTTTTATATTAGTAAATTTTGCATCGATCAGAAATTTAAATAAGAAAAGGATCGTGATCCTTTTATTAAAAAAAAGGTCGACCCTGGATTTCGATCCTATTTTTTTCAAAAGATGTGATTCGATCTTTTTAAAGGATCGATTAAAGCCTGAAGATTTCACTAGAAGTCGAACTTGCCAGGGCCATAAAATTTTACTAGCTAATTTTCTCAAAAAGTAAATGAATTTTCCTGCTTCCAAAACTTAAAAATATTATAATTGTTTTATGAGCCATGAATCTTTTAAGCCCATCCTTATAAGTTTGATCGGTTGATGCTTCATCAGAATCATCTAGAAATTCTCTAAATGTTTCATTTAGAATATAATGTTTTTTATGTGTTTAGGATGAATTAGAAAATTTATAAATGATAGTTGGCATTGACTTATACATATCATTCTAATTTATCAGACCAGGAGAAATAAAGGAGTCATCTATTTAAAGGTAAACCTAATAAAGATAGACTCCTATTTAGTAGGGCTATCTGGATGGGAGATTTGAAAAAAAACAAAAATTGTTCCTTTGAGTCAGTTGTATATGGGTACGCATACATTAGGAATAATTAAAAGGTATGTGAATAAGATACTACAATCATTATACTAAGTAAATTCATTATGATCATTACGCGGTAAATCATTCGAAAAAATTATACTAAGGTCAGACCCTTTAATATATACTCAAACAATTGAGAGGTAAAAGCTTAAGAAATATTATCCCAAGAATAGATAGAGAAAAGACAAAATATTTAAATTCTATTTTTAAAAAATTGTTAATGTAAAGGGAAAATTATTGTTATTTATACATATGTGTGATTTTTAAAGGGATCAGAACTATCCGGGATCATCACGGGTTTTAAAGGGATAACTAAAAAATTAGGGTTTCCAAACAAGCAATGTTATTTATCGAAGGAGAAAACAATAAGTTATGATGAATACTCATTAAATATTGAGATTTATAGAGGAAACTATAATCTTAATTAGTATCTCGAATTTCAATGTTGTGATCCTAATAATTTTTTTAAAAAAAAACAATACATTTCAATTGTAAATACGAAAATATGCAAGGGGGGGGGGGATAGGGAAATTAAAAAATTGCGTAATTTTTGTGTAAGGAACAGAATCATTATTATCATGATGAGAAAGGGGTTTGATGATTGGAGGAATCTACTTCATTTTTAATTTTTTTTCACACTTTGTATTAATAATCATAAAAATAGAATCATAAATAAATAATGAATAAACCTATGGATTGTATCTGCAATTTTTCGTAATCGCTCGATTGAGTGACCAAATATTGCTCCAATATCGCTAGGATTTCTGGGAAGTAAGGTTGAATCAATTCCTCGGCCGCACTCGCTAAAGTGAAAGAGTGATTTAATAATTATATAATCTCCATTTATATTCCTTAAATTTATTTTCGTATTTTTTCATTTCTATTTTCTAATATCCATCCGTTTTTCATCCAAAATCTTCAAAAAGCAACCAATCGACAAAATTCTCGGTAAAAGATGGGGGGGGGGGGGATTTCCAAAATCTTTCGTAAATTAATTTTTTTTATTAGATTTTTCAACTAATATTCCTATTATTGGCTTTAAATGACTTAAAGGGTAAAAAAAATGAAACAACTTTTAAATGTTTCTAAACTCTTTCTATTAGGGTGTCTTGTTTTGTTTTACGGTTTTGAAGAAAAAAGATTCTCTCTAGAAGTTTACTTAGCTTTGTTTCTTTAGTTTTTAGTTTATTTTATTTACTTTGCCGGTTGGTCAACATTGTTAAATAACTATAGTTTTTATTTTGCCATAGAAACAAATTAATTTTTTAAAAAAAAGTTATTAAATGTTAAGTAGAGTAAGAAAATAGAGGTAAAAAATTTAACGCCAGCCCATATTAAAAAAAAAAAATCATACACTCAAATTCGCGGCGAAGTATATAAAAATACAGCATATATTTGTATATGCGGTAACTATGAATGCAGGGTAACCTCTCATTCACACTTAGAGCGAATGGTGGCGGAGAACATAAAAATTAGCTTATTTTGTATAATTAGGGCTTATTATGAATGAGGGAGGCCCATAATTTAAAGGAGAAAATATATATTTGTTTTAAAAACCTGTAGCAGATAAGCAAGAGATAGCAAACTCCTTCAATTTGATAGGCAAACCAGGATTTTTCAATATTTCGATCATGTTTCTCAGTATGACAGGTAAGTAGGGTTCCAGTATTTCCTTATCTTTTTTTTAAAAAAAATTTATAATTAATCATTAAATAATATGATATAAAAAATATACTAAGAAAAAATGTTTTCTATTTAGCAGTGGGATAATTTTAAAAAAATGATAAAAATGTCACGTGTTAATTTAAATGTTAAATCAATTAATATGACTAAACAAAAAAATAACTGGCTCAATTGAAATCTTCCTTTATATATAAAATCCCACATTACTAAATGTAATTTGTCAAACTCTTAAACCAGCGATGTTTAAAGAAAAAATGAAAAAAAGAGCAAAAAAAATAGGCTTAAATATAATTTTAACCGAAATTATGAAAACACTCGAATAAATTAATAACTAATTTCCTTATAAAAAAATAATTGTGATAATTAAACATTTCTAACAAAATACATGCAGATTAAGATCATTGATATATTCAAAATTGTGCAATAAAATATTGGTATAATATTTTCCATATGGATATTTATTTTTTAATAAAAAAATTTATTTTCTCCTATATTAAAAAAGATAGTTAAAATGGTATATTAATTTAGGAAGGATTATTTCTTTAAAAAAAATTGCCATTTACCCATATTCTCTATGTAGGTTTCGAAGGCAGTGAAGGCTTTGATTAAGCAATTCTCGTGATCTCCATCGGCATGCAAATCTTCCCCATTAGCTAAGACATCGGCTACTGGAGAATTGACTTGATTAGAACTCAACTGGCCTATCCTTTCGTAAAGTAAAGGCATAATCTGGCTATGATATTCCATTATCTCGGGCTTAAAAAAAATTTTTTTTTGAAATGTATATATATATATATATATAATAGAACAAAAACAAAGGATGATGAAGTTGAAATTTAAAATCTCTTTCGTTTGTTGTTTTTCAATGCTAATTTTTTTGAAATATTCAAAAAACAATAGCTTTGTTTTATTTACAATATTCAATAAGGTAATATAGTGTTTTTTTAAAATGTAATCATCCCAATTCCAGAAGGTGGGAAATAATGGATATTATAAACATAACTCATTAGGATTGATTTGTGTTTAGTATCAAAAGGGTTAGTATAAAGTGGGTTAGCGGAAATGTTTTTATAAAAAGTTTTTTTTTCTTCCGAAGATAACCTGTAAAGAATCAGACATGTGTGATAATGCGTGAAAAGCTGACTTTTGAACAACGGGTTTATCGGACTTGACACCATTTATAACGCATTTAACGGTCGGCTCTAGGCATCTGACAAAAAGAAAATAGATATAATATATATGTAACATTTTAGTTGCTTTGTTGGTTTTTTTTTAAATAAAACGATTTATATATTTTAAATAATAATTAACCCATTCTTTCCTTGTATAACCAATTTTAAACTTAATGGACGTTTTAAACACTAGGAATTACTATTTAATTAGGGTTAACATTGACGCCCAACTTTTTATAAAATTTTAATTTTATACTATTCAGATAGGAAATTTTTAGTTTAAGTTTTATTTAACAATGTTCCGTTTGGCATTTATGGGCGCCTAAAAATATTATTATGAATAAAAATTCTAGCATTATAATAAATAATTTTGGCGAAATGGTATATAAAAATGCCGAAATAATTTAAAATATAATAAAATACAAGTAAAAAGCATATGTTTGAGAATTAATCTTAATATTTTGCAGTGTCAAATTAAATCATTAAGCGTTCTCAATGGTTATAAAATAACCATGCAAGTTGATGATGTCAAATAGGCTCACATGATGTTTATGGGTTCTAAGGTTATTTTATTTTTGAAAAAAATGGTAGAAAAGAGTAACTATACTTTTGCTTTATGTAACCTGGGCATCCATCCAAAACACTAGCGAGTGCCAAAAAAGCTCCCCTCTGTTTGTATGGCTGATCCGTCCGATTTAGCATTCCTTCCATATGATTCAACTTTTGAGGGAGAGGAGATATGGGGAGGGGGAGAGGGGTTGTAAAGATTTTATTTATTAATAAAGTTTTTATCCATCTTTTATTTTTTTTTGTTCAGAGACCTGCTGGCCCGAGCCTTATTTTAATTTTTTTTAATATACCCGGACTTGCCATAAAATTTTTTTTTAAAAAAAATAACAGGTTTTGGCCGAATATCTCAAGCCATTTAAAACATATTTTAAAAAAATCCGTGCCGGGCCTTATAAAACTCAGGTTGGACTAATTTTTATTCAAAATCTAGGGCCGGGCCATGCGAATGTTACCTCTGTAGGTCTCCGATTTTCTTACATTATTTCTCCCAAAATTTCTAATGTTTGAACATTCGTATTTTGCACTCGTTGTTTATTTATATTCAACCGTTTATAAATTTTTTTAAATGATTGATAAAAACAAAATTTATATTTTTATTTGTAACTACTTACCAAGTTGGGCATAAATTTCCCTGGCGAAATATTGATGGACATTTCTTCTAAAAGCTAAATTGTGAAAAGGGTAAAATAAAAACTTTAAAAATATATAAAATCGAGGTGTGGTAATTCAGGCGCATAGCCACCTCCACCTGTAGTAAATATTTTTGAAAAAAAATATAAAAAGTTTTCATGAATTGTGAATTGCAAAGTATTCTATTTAAAATAAGTTTTTTAGAAAAAAGAGTTAAAATATTTAAATATTGCTTCCCCGTGAATTAATATTTTATCCCAAAAAAATTTAGTGAATTTTCTTATATTTTTTTTTAAAACCTTATACATTGATAAATACAAGATACTTTTATCAATCAAAAAAATTCCATTTAATTTATCTCTACTAATAACTTTAATTAGGCAACATTTTTAGATTATATGAAATGTTCAGACAGAATTTAATGAATAGTGTTAATAAAATGGGTAAAAAAAGAAAAGATTAAATCATTTTTATTACATCAGTAACAGAGCCGAGCAAGGAACTTTGGTAACTGTCTTCCTCGTAGAACGATTCGTCATCCGGGTCTTCTGGATTTTGGTGACAAAACAAGGGCATAATAATGTCCACTATTTTGTCTGTCATTTTAGATTTTATTATTATCTAGAGGAAGAAGATATAAAAAATAATATTTCGTGTTTTATTGTATATCTTTATTTCATTCCTTTATTATCTTTTTTTAGCAATAGGAAGCATTCATCATAAATCGATTCTAAAATTTAACCATGTAAACATCTTCCTGTCAGGATAATTTATAATCATTCTTGATATCTTAAATCTATTACCTAATCTTAATGAATTTCAAAAAAAAAATATATATCCATTTCCTAATTCATATTTCCATAGATAGTACTAAATAAAAAATTATAGGAAATAAACAAATAATCATTTCTAAATTATTTAGAGCAAGTATCAATCAGTTTTAAAAAAAAATTTGAATTTATAAATTATGAGCGTCAGAAAGCAAAAGGCTCTTATCCTTTTCCTAAGCACTCTCATCATTTTAGATATTTCTTAAGACCCATTCATCTAGGTCCATATATTAAGGACAGATAATGAAGATCTATCAGGGATCCAAACCGAAACGAATAACGGTTCGGGTTCAGGTTCGGATAAAAATAACGGTTCAAGGTTCAGGTTCATAAAAAATTAAAATATCGGTTCGGTTCGAACTTCTAAAAACCGGGTTGAACACTTGTATTCAAAAATACATTCGAATTATGTAAAGGGAAAATATTTTTTTATTTTATCATTAATATAAAACCTTCATTTTTATCAATTGCACATAATAAAATAATTTAATTTATAAATATCAATATCAATATATTTTATTTTTTTTTTACTTAAATTTTTTTTATTAAGCTGCACAATTAATATATTTTAAATTGGTCTCACTAAAATTACATCTATAAGGAGATAGTATAAATTTAATTGTTGAAAAACATTTTCCACACTAACTTGGGTAGCCGGCACTGCCAATATGATATCATATCAGATTTGATTTGTCATTTATAATAATATTTTGGACTTATTTTTTCTCTAAGCATTATAATTTATAAGCTTAAATGACAATATACTAAAGTTTATAAAAATTATGACAGACACTTATCAATCAAATATGATTGATGATAATCTTTAAAATAATTCGAATATAATTGAAATTTTTTCAATATGCTAATAATAACTTACATATTATTTTATAAGAATAGAATCATGAGGCTCGAACCGGTTCAGAGGCATTTTAGCGGTTCGGTTCAGGTTCAGCTAGAAATTTTTTTAGCGGTTTAGGTTCAGTTCAGGTTTGATAAAAACCGGTTTTTAGCGGTTTAACGGTTCAGTTCTGGTTCGGTTTGGATCCCTGAGATCTAGCGTCGTATAGCAATGGAGGGTCAAAATGGCGCCATTTAATTAAAACACATTATATATTAAGGTAAAAGTTAAAGGTGAAGAAATATAATGACTATACGATTAAAAAAATAATTATGGGTAAATCATCACACTAAAACGTTTGTTTCGAGATTTTTATTTTATTTTAAACCTTTTTCTTGTTACATAGCATAGTCCTGACGAAATAAACGGCCTTTATTCGGACACTGTCCGGTATTTCGATATTTGACGCCATCTATAACATACATATCTATACGGTATTTATGAATACTACAAAAATTTCAAATTGATTTATCATTAAATTTAAATTTTTTTATAGCTATTTGAATCATTTTTTAATGTAGCTATTTTGCATTTCAACCAGAGTTGTATCCTTGAAAATAAAAATCATCAATGGTTCTTGTTATATACAAATTTTTTTCAGAGGTAGTTCATTAAAATCGGTTCCGTGGTAACTGATTTAAATGTTATATTAGTTAAAAAAAGGGGTACATACAAAATTAACTAACTATAAAGATAGGTTAGATTGAATAATTTATTAATGAATGTTTTCGAGAATTCAAAATTTCTTTCTATTAGAGTTCACTGGAGTAGTCAGGAATAACTTAAATAAAACTATCAACCGGAGAAATGTACCAATAAGGATACCTCTTATTGCTCAATATCGGTATTGGTCGATATTTTCAATTTTAAGCGATACAAAATACCCGAAAGTGATAATTTATTTTCATAATATTTTTTTTTAGCCCGCTCCTATTAAAACATTAAAACCATATATAAAATAACCTCAGCTTGGAAAATTAACTTATTGTCAGTTACGCTTATTACAATAAAAAAAGCGTATAAAAAAGATTCGAAAAGTGGTCATTTTTATAATTAAAAAAAAGAAGAGAATAACGGCAGATAAAATAGTATAAAAATTAACTTTCAAAAAAATTTCGACATATTTTTGTAAAACGTGGGCATTGTCGATGCTATCGCATTCTATTATATCGGTGAAATATTCCATCAGCTCTGAAGCCTTTTCCTGTTTGTTGATATATATTTTTTTAAAAATATAAGAATGAACTTTCTTCTATTTCATTTTAACTTCGATTCCTAACATTTTAATAATCCTTTTCATTAATTTATTTCTATTTCACTTTACTTTATTGATTTCATTCTTCCTTTTTTTTACATACTTTATTTTTTATTTTTTTTATAGCTCCTTTCATTCTCATTTATCCTTAAAAAAAATAAATAGATAAAGCTCGTCTATTTATTAACTTCATCCTGGTTAACTAGAGAAGCGATGAGATTCAATATTGATTGTCCCCAGGTGTCGATCAATTTACTTTCGCTAACACTCAAAGAGGGCAGCAGATTTATTAAGCATCTAAAATAAATATGATTAAGAAAGCTTAATTTAATAAGTCACGTTGGAGACAAAAATTGTTAATGCAAAATGTTTTTATGCAGTAAATTATAATTGTAAACTATATATAAATTATTTGAAAAAGCAAGGTATTACTTGGCGACGTAAAAAGCTGGTAGGGGATGAGAAACATCTTGCAAAATGGCTGTAAATAACGGGGTGAACTGACTCAAGTGTCTGGCCACGAAATGTATGGTATTACCAGGGGTTAGGACTTCATTCAAAATAAAAGAGCCTCTCTATGATAAAAAAAATTAATTCGATTTTATGAAATAAAATAATTTATGACAAAAAAAAGGGGAAAATGAAAGAAAAAAGAAATGAATGAGCTAATTAAAAAATAAAAGAAAATAAAGGTGAAAAAAAAATAAAAGAATGAATGAACGTAATTTATAAAGAAACAAAAAAAACCTCTCTTCTCTCGACACTAGGATCATTCATCAGAATTATTAAGGAGTTAAAGAATTCGCTCCAGGGTCCGGCCTCCAGCTTATGCTTAACGATGGCAGCCATAGCGGAACAAACCATAGTTAATACCGATTTCCTACATCACAATGAAAAAAATAATAATGATTTTTTTAGTTATTTTATTGGATTTCTTTTCCATTTTTTTTCTCTTTTATATAATATTCCTGATATTACAAAATCCAATTTTAATTATAGAAATCATGCATAATGTAATATTTAATGTAATTGCATAATAAAATTACTCATTTTCTTCCCTGAGAGATGTGTACAAAATTTCTTGGATGCTATAAAATAAAGACAAAATAATCAAATTTTATATTTATTTCCTTTTCTCAAATTATTTTTTATACTAAGATATTCCCTTATAATATCATTCAATTTTTTTTTAAGTATAGTATTTAAAACAAATGTTTTTTTCGTTTGATTTTATTTAAATAACCCCTATAATTTTTTTCTTTCTTTATATTCATTTCATATTGTGAATATTACTTGAGAAATAATTTGTGGTCCATTATTTCAAAATTTTATTAAAAAAATTGATGGCCTACCACAAATGGTGGCGCATTTAGAAATAGTGAAGTCAAAGAAACATTTCTCGAAATCTTTCCCATTTGCTTTTTTTTTAATAAAAAGTGAAAAGAATGATAAGTATAGGATGGAAAATCCTATGAGGTTGGGAAATAGGGATTTTAGGATTTCTATCTTATGTGTCCCTCATTTTAACCTAAAAACGGGCTTACATAACTAAAATATTCAATATATTATGCAGACCCTCCCCCCCCCATCACTAAAAATAAAACATTATATAAGTCACTGATCACACAAATGAAACTATTTATTTTTTAAATCAATTTCCAATTTGAATATTATAAATATACAAGTATAAACTGCAATTAATTAAAACGATTCAGTTTATAATGTTTTGCTTTTTCAGGTCTTCCAAGAGGATTACTAAGTACAACTCAGACGATAAAAAGAGTTTCTTTATTTTAAGTCAAACCAAAATAAAAAAAAAACATCATATTATTTTAACTTTAAAGCAACAACTAAATAAAGCATGCTGCCATTATTTTTAAAAAGAGAAACTTAATTATTAATTTAAACTGTATCGGGTATGTGAATCAGAACCCCGAAACTTTATTTTTAAATTTAGGGTTCAAGAATTTTTTTTCTATATTTTTTTTTAAAAATTTCAATCATTTTTTTTAAAAAATATATATGTTAGCGTCAATGTGTTTTTTTCCTGCAAATGTATTAATTTTTTTGGGCGCGTTTTTAATAATTTAAAAATCCGATTTTAGCGGGAAATGTATGCCACCATGTATGGAATACTTACCCTATGAATTTCAGACAATTTTTCCCATGAATTTTATGACTGGGGAATCATTTTTTATTTTAGTGTATCCATTTTATTAAATTTTTTTTTGAACACCGTATCCTAAACCTTGCTAAAAACTGAGATTTTTTACTGTACCCAAACCATATTTTAGAAAGAGGGTTCACAACCCTGATTGTTTACTGACGTGTTTTTTTTTATATAGCTTTCAAAATTAAATTTATCTATTTAAGAATAATACTTGAATTTGAGTGCACTGTGAGGTAGTGTTGTTAAAAACGGCTAACTCATAGCCAGAAAAAATATTGTCTAAGCCTCGAGATTTCGTTAATAGATTATTCAAACTTTTGTGCCACCTATGAGCAAAATCTTAAGGCTTGTAATAATATTTTTCCTAATAAAATATTGAATTAGCCGTTTTAAAAATCGGCTCAGAATGAGCCATATAAAAACACTACACTGTGAGGTAAATGGCTAATAATATTTACTATAATAAAAAAAAAAATTTTAACAAAAAACCTACAAAAGATAAAAAATAATGCATAGAAATTTACTGTTGAGATTGTTCTTGTTTTAGTTCTTTCCATTGATATTTTTTGGCAATTTTATTTCTCAATAAAATAGCTGAATATTGTCTGACCTTATATGTAATTAGTAAAAGAGAAGAAAAAATAAAAAAACTGTCCAATATATAATTAAATCTATATAATATAAGATGAGGTTCATCAAAATAGATTTGATTCATTATAAATTTATGTTAAAAGATATATTTGTATTTATACCATAACATTTTGTGACGAGTTTATCAGTGTGCATAATTTTTCAATGCAGTCAGGAGTTTTAAGGGCCTCTTTCAATTTGATAGTGCTCTAAATAATATATCATTTTTTTTAATTATAAAGTTGTTAATATTTTATAAAAATTTTAAATAAATATTCTTTATTATAAGGACGAGTTAAGTAAAATTGATATTTTTAAAACATATATTGCATAAAATAATTTAGAATGTACATACTGAATTCTATAATTTTATAGGTGGTAACCATGACTAGTGCTGTTAAAAAGCCCAATTTTTTAAAAAAAGATTAACCCAATATTTTAGATCAAAAAACCATTTCACAAACATGGAGATTTTAGCAAATAGATGCCAGAAAGGTCTGGACATCTATTAGCAATTGTCATACGTCATAATAAGCGTAAATATGAAACAGCAGAGCTACGCTTGGACTTACTCGTCCCATCTAATTGGGTTAAGAAATTTGGGGGTAGCCTATGAGATTAGCCCATCCACAATTTTTGGGCAGGCTGCAGTTACCTGTGCGCGCAAGAGGCGAAACCACTTGCTTAAACGCCTCGGGAGATTAGAAGAGAGAGAAAAGCCCGTACCCGATTAAGTAAAATGTATATTATAGGGAGGGGTATTGGTAAATTTTTAGTTTATGGTCTATATTGAATTTGTTTATTTAATATAAATATGATATTTTTTTTTATTTTTTTTTAATAAACCTGCCTTACTACTTAAGAATATTAGATTAGAGGGTTGATAGTATGAGTTAAGTATATTTTGAATAATTACATCAAGGTTAGGTACATGAAGAGTTTTATAAATAAATAAATAAATAAATGTATGTTTAGCATGGCGGGAGGAAGGTGGTGCTTATGCTAAAGGGGGGGCTGAGAGATTTGGAGGGTGTAGGTAGCTGGATTTGATTTTTAGAAGCTTTTTTATTGAGCTTTTATTATTGTTTAGACGTATGAATTGTTCCATCGTCAGATTTAGGCTTATGACTTCTTTTATCGTTCTGTACAGACAATATGACTTATATTTACCGTATGTTTTGTCTGAAGTTTCTGATGGTATGACCAAAGAGTTGGATGTGTCTTTTTTTGAGAGTAGTCTCGATCGGGACGTTTTTTGAGATTCGCCATAGGCTGGCATTTGAAATTAATCTTGGATAGAAAATACCGTTGAACTGGCGCAGACAGCTGTTTACGAAAACCTGTATTTTCTTTGTCTGGGATTTATTTATTTCCCAAGTGTCACTTCCGTAGAGGAGGACTGGAATGACTGTAGCCTTAAATATTCGGAGTCTCGTTTTGACTGAGATCTCTCTGGCTGTCCATAGTTTGTAATATTTCATAAAGGTTATTTTTGCATTTTTTAGTCGGGCTTAGATTTCGCCACTGATGTTTCCTTTATTATCAATAAGCACGCCAAGATATTTGAAATTATTGACTATTTTGATTTCATTTCCCTCAAATGTTAAGTTATCTATTGACGCCTCTGGGGATGGCATGATAAAAGTTTTATTGAAGTTGATGGTTAGGCCGACTTTGTTGCTGTGGAAGCGGAGACTTGTTAGTAAGTCTATTGTCTCATCTCTTGACTTGGTAATTAAAACCAAGTCATTTGCGTACAAGATGATTCTTAGATGATTGATATTGTTATTGTTAGATAAAAGATCGACTAAGTTCATGGTGCTCGTGGTTTCTTTTATGATTTTGTGTATGATTATGTTGAAAAGAATGGGTAATAGAACACACCCTTGTTTCACGCCTCTTCTGATCCTGAAGTAAGGAGAGAAAGTACGGCCTAGCTGTAACCTAGCCCAAGAATTGCTGTAATGATATTTCAAAATTTTGATTATGTTTTGATCGATATTACATTCTACTAGAGCCTCCCAAAGGGCATCGTGTTTAACGGTGTCAAAGGCTTTGCTATAGTCAATGAAAGTAAATATGAAGGGAAGTTTGTATCTGAAGCATTTTTGGAGGTGGATTTTGAGAGCTAGGATGGGTTCATTAATGTTCTTATTTGGCCTGTAGGCGCAAATATTACTTGACAGGAGGTTTTTGGTAGAAGCGAGGATTCTGTTCTTCAGGAGTAACCATGATCACCTTTGAGACTGTGGCGGTGAGAGCGATGGCTCTGTAATCTGCGAACGATGAAGGATGGAGTTTCTTGGGGAAGTTGCAAATTGTGGATTTATTCCAATCATGTGGGGTTTTGTCTGAATGCCATATTTTTGTGAATATGGCTAATAGATATTTAGAAGTGCTTTCTGCAGCGGCTTTCATATGTTCATTTCTGATCCCATCAGAGCCTGGAGCCCTATTGTTTTTTAGCTTGCTTATGGCTCTGTTGATTTCTATGAGGGAGAAATCGGAGTGGGGTAATGGCAAGATTGTCTGTTGGAGGCTCGATATCTTGGAAGGGATCCTGGATTTAAGGCTGACATATAGAAGTCTGTCCAGATGGCCATTTGCTCTTCAGGGTCTGTGTATTTGTTACCTCCTTGTAGAGTAAGTATAGGTAATTTTTTGAAGCATGCTGGTTTGCAGAAGTGTTTGAGCTTTTTGTAAGCGTCGTGAGTTTTGTTATTTCTTATATCCATTTCTATTTCTTCTGCTCTCTTTGCTAAGAAGATCCTTCGATCACTGCGTAGTAATCCCTAAATACGTCTCCATAGTGCTAAATTGCGGCTGCTATCGTTTTTTATCGATAAGATTAAGTTTTTTGTACCTACTGAGAGCCATTCTCTTTTTGGTATTTGGCTATGATTTAGGTTATTGTAGGCGTGGAAAATTGCACTTTTGAAATCTGACCAATATTCCTCTAATAATTTGGTAGGGAAGGACTGGATAATTCTAGCTATGCTTAAGCAGATTGTTTCATTGTAGGCTGATTTGTTTATGTTAGTGAAGTGCCATTTGGGAGTTTGTTCTGGTGCTGCACGTGTTGTGCTATGGACGCGCTTGGTGTTATTGTTTCTCCATTCTTCACTTCGTATTTTTATATGTGCTTTAATTAATTTGTGATCTGATACATTTATGTTTAGGATGGCCTTTACATCTGCAAACCAGCTGTGGATATTGGATAGGAATAAGTCGATTTGGGAGGAGTGGCCACCTCTTGAGAAGGTCATGAGGTGAGGAGGTTTATGTTTGAAGAAAGTGTTTTCGATTTTTAGATTGTTGTCAAAACATATTTGGAGTAGTTTTTCCCATCCTTATCGTTGCTGTTATAAACTGTTGTGTAGCCTATAGTTTTGCTTACTTTCTATGTAATGTCATGACCTATTTTAGTATTGAAATCTCCGATTGCTATGATGTTGTATCTTTTTGGTAAGGAGCTTATCACGTTATCTAGGTGTTCCTGGAATAAAATTCTTTCTGTAAGTTTAGGGGGGACGTAGAAATTGAGGAGGATAGTGGGTTTGTAGGCTGTATTCAGGTATAGTACTGATAAACCTCCTCACCTCATGACTTTCTCAAGAGGTGGCCACCTCCCAAATCGACTTCTTCCTATCCAATATCCACAGCTGGTTTGCAGATGTAAAGGCCATCCTAAACATAAATGTATCAGATCACAAATTAATTAAAGCACATATAAAAATACGAAGTGAAGAATGGAGAAACAATAACACCAAGCGCGTCCATAGCACAACACGTGCAGCGCCAGAACAAACTCACAAATGGCACTTCACTAACATAAACAAAACATCCTAAAATGAAACAATCTGCTCAGGCATAGCTAGAATTATCCAGTCCTTCCCTACCAAATCATTAGAGGAATGTTGGTCAGATTTCAAAAGTGCAATTTTCCACGCCTACAATAACCTAAATCATAGCCAAATACCAAAAAGAGAATGGCTCTCAGTAGGTACAAAAAACTTAATCTTATCGATAAAAAATGATAGCAGCCGCAATTTAGCACTATGGAGACGCATTCAGGGATTACTACGCAGTGATCGAAGGATCTTCTTAGCAAAGAGAGCAGAAGAAATAGAAATGGATATAAGAAATAACAAAACTCACGACGCTTACAAAAAGCTCAAACACTTCTGCAAACCAGCATGCTTCAAAAAATTACCTATACTTACTCTACAAGGAGGTATCAAATACACAGACCCTGAAGAGCAAATGGCCATCTGGACAGACTTCTATATGTCAGCCTTAAATCCAGGATCCCTTCCAAGATATCGAGCCTCCAACAGACAATCTTGCCATTACCCCACTCCGATTTCTCCCTCATAGAAATCAACAGAGCCATAAGCAAGCTAAAAAACAATAGGGCTCCAGGCTCAGATGGGATCAGAAATGAACATACGAAAGCCGCTGCAGAAAGCACTTCTAAATATCTATTAGACGATATTCACAAAAATATGGCATTCAGGCAAAACCCCAGATGATTGGAAAAAATCCACAATTTGCAACTTCCCCAAGAAACTCCATCCTTCATCGTTCGCAGATTACAGAGCCATCGCTCTCACCTCCACAGTCTCAAAGGTGTTCATGGTGCTCCTGAAGAACAGAATCCTCGCTTCTACCAAAAACCTCCTGTCAAGTAATATTTGCGCCTACAGGCCAAATAAGAACATTAATGAACCCATCCTAGCTCTCAAAATCCACCTCCAAAAATGCTTCAGATACAAACTTCCCTTCATATTTACTTTCATTGACTATAGCAAAGCCTTTGACACCGTTAAACACGATGCCCTTTGGGAGGCTCTAGTAGAATGTAATATCGATCAAAACATAATCAAAATTTTGAAATATCATTACAGCAATTCTTGGGCTAGGTTACAGCTAGGCCGTACTTTCTCTCCTTACTTCAGGATCAGAAGAGGCGTGAAACAAGGGTGTGTTCTATTACCCATTCTTTTCAACATAATCATACACAAAATCATAAAAGAAACCACGAGCACCATGAACTTAGTCGATCTTTTATCTAACAATAACAATATCAATCATCTAAGAATCATCTTGTACGCAAATGACTTGGTTTTAATTACCAAGTCAAGAGATGAGACAATAGACTTACTAACAAGTCTCCGCTTCCACAGCAACAAAGTCGGCCTAACCATCAACTTCAATAAAACTTTTATCATGCCATCCCCAGAAGCGTCAATAGATAACTTAACATTTGAGGGAAATGAAATCAAAATAGTCAATAATTTCAAATATCTTGGCGTGCTTATTGATAATAAAGGAAACATCAGTGGCGAAATCGAAGCCCGACTAAAAAATGCAAAAATAACCTTTATGAAATATTACAAACTATGGACAGCCAGAGAGATCTCAGTCAAAACGAGACTCCGAATATTTAAGGCTACAGTCATTCCAGTCCTCCTCTATGGAAGTGACACTTGGGAAATAAATAAATCCCAGACAAAGAAAATACAGGTTTTCGTAAACAGCTGTCTGCGCCAGTTCAACGGTATTTTCTATCCAAGATTAATTTCAAATGCCAGCCTATGGCGAATCTCAAAAAACGTCCCGATCGAGACTACTCTCAAAAAAAGACACATCCGGTCATACCATCAGAAACTTCAGACAAAACATAGTTCATGAGGCTATAATCTGACTCGAGTCTCATGAAGGTAAAACATACGGTAAATACAAGTCATATTATCTGTACAGAACGATAAAAGAAGTCATAAGCCTAAATCTGACGATGGAACAATTTATACGTCTAAACAATAATAAAAGTTCATAAAAAAGCTTCTAAAAATCAAATTCCCTACACCCTCCAAATCTCTCAGCCCCCCTTTAGCATAAGCACTACCTTCCTCCTGCCATGGTAAACATACATTTATTTATAAAACTCTTCATGTACCTAACCTTGATATAATTATCCAAAATATACATAACTCATACTATCACCCTTCTAATCTAATATTCTTAAGTAGTAAGGCAGGTTTATTATTAAAAAAAATCATATTTATATTAAATAAACAAATTCAATATAAACCATAAACTTAAAATTTACCAATACCCCTTCCTATAATATACATTTTACTTAATCGGGTACGGACTTTTCTCTCTCTTCTTATCTCCATATAACATATGTCTTTTATTTTGATTAATTAAAAAAATTAATTTCTATATTTAAATAAATTCGAGCTGGGCTAAAAATTTTTTTCGGGCCAGGCCGGCAAAACATTTTTTAAAAAAATTTTGGGTTCAGGCCTTGCCGGCAAAACTTTTTTAAAAAATTTCTGAAAAATTAGGCCCCATGCAGATCACTATTTTTATGTCCATTGAATGTCATTCAATTAAAGTAAAGATTTTACTAAAAAACTACAAAAAATAATTTTTTTTCATATGGCAAATCTAATTTTACCCTTTCAAAAGATTAAAATTATTGCAAAAAATGAGTTTTTCCAAATCTTTCAAAATTTTAACCATTTGTCAGGTATACTAATCTATATCTGTATAAAAAAACAATGAATATTTTTTTAAATAGTAAAACATCTACATCTCATTATGCAAAATTTTCAATTTTTCAAAAAGGTTGGATTTTGGATTAGTTTGAAAAATATGGGTAATATGGTTATAGGTCAATTACAGTGCAAAATTATAATCTTTGCAAATATAATTAAAATATAGACAAAGCATTATTGAAATTTCTTTTATTATTCCTTTTGTTATGGCTTTAATTTAATCGTCAATATGTTTCATTAAATCATCAAAACATTGTATAGTTTCTATAAAAATTAAAATATTGCATAAATGTGTCAATTCTTTACTATTATAGTATCACAAAAAAAAAGTATTTTAAATTAATATTGAAACTGGGTTGGGCTAAGGGTTCCAAATTGAATTAAGTTAGAGGCATTACACTACAGTGTTGTTAAACAGCTCGATTTTTAAAAATGACTTACTCAATTTCTTATGCAGAAATATATTACACAAGACTTATGATTTAGCTAATAGTTGGCATAAAGGTTAGAACATAGGCAATATTTTTCTTGTTAACATGTTGGGTTAGCCATTTTAAAACCGGCTCAAATAGAGTCGTTTAATAATACTATACACTATATAACATAACACTCTTATAATTCACCTATTTTGAAAATGTAATGGCTTTTGTTGTGATTGGGCCATTCCATATCAAATTAATTAAAAACATATAGCCAACATCTTTAAAACTTATTCAAAATCTATGGGATTAGATTAGTACATTTAATAGAAATATTTTAGTATAAAAAGTAAAAATATCCTGTTATTGGTAAGTTACTAACATTTCAACCATAATTGGTAGATTTATATAGGGACATCTATTTATGCAAAATTTCTATTGGTAAAAATGCATATTTTGAAAAGCCAATAGCATTACTAAGGTTTTCACATCATATGTATATTTATAAAAGTTCCAAATAAAAGGAAAATAAAATTTTCCCAAAAAACAACTTCCATAAATATAGGTAAAGCAATATAAGTAAATTGGAAGTTAAGGATTCAAATTGTTGCCAATTTTTCTCTTCACTTCAACAAGACCTTTGAAGATTTTTTTTACCTACAATATGCTATATTATATTTATTTTTACAATAAATAATTTTGGAGATATTTACATATTTGTAAGTCATATTTTTTGCACCTATGAAACCCTGGTCTCAAAAACCAAGTGTGTTAGTAAGGTAATTTAAAAGGGCTTTCTACTTTTTTTTTACCTCTAAATAATTACAGAAATTTTTATCAATCTTAAAAGGGTAAGCATCAGGTAATTAAACAACACTATTAAGAGTCAATATTATGAAGGGTAGTATATGTTAATGATAGTATGTAGAGGATAGACAATATATGTATTACTTTGTTTTAAGAAAATAAATAATCTGAAACATTTTTTTAAAAAAATATATTTTTTAGTTATTTTTATCTAAATTGCAAAAAATCAATATACAACTGGCTGATTTTAGGTTCCATTTAATAAAAAGTCCTAGTTTTAATTATGGGCAAAAAATCACACTTTATTTATAATAACTTTCATTTATTTAAAATATAATATTTATGTATATATTATCCTATTAAAAATAGGCCTATTAATTTTAATAATTTTAATGTAACATGTAAAATAGTTATGGATATTAAAAATTCAAAATAATATATGAGATAGGTAACATTACTTCTTTGATGATCTCACTATCAGGAATCAAGAAATTAGAAATAAGTTGTTCAAATTCGTTAAGCATTGCGGTATGAAGGGGGAAATTTTTAAATTATGAACGAATGAGGAAATTTAAAATATAAATCTGTGCTAAATGTTAGCATAACAATAATCAAAATATCCTATTATTTAATTTGATTAATCATCAAGTGATTCTTATATGTTTGCTAAAATATTTTAGCTAAAAAATAAATATACAATATGTAGGAATTGTAATAATTGTACATAATAGTGATACAAAATAAGTATTATACAAATATAGGAATTGTAAAAATCGCATATAATAATGTTACAAAATGGGAGCTATTATATGTTATGAAATTAAAATCCAAGTATCTATAATAAAAAATTTATCATTGTTTAGAAATATTAAATTTTTGAAAACCATTTGTTATAAGTATTATAACAATTAGTAAAAATATTTACATGCAAAATTAAATACCTTTAGCAATAAATCACATCACCCTTCATTTCATAATGTAACAAAATTAAAAGCAGTTTAAAATCATAAATTAAAAAAAAAGAAAGTACAACAAAAAAGTCAAAAAAAAACAATTGAAAATTATATTAATTTTTTACGTAAATAATATGATCTCTAATTTACATAATCAATTAAAAAATTTATCTCCTGATTGTTTATTAATTTTCCCAATAATAGGATTCAAATTTTATATCATAAATTTAAGGCAATGCAATATCTAATTTATACCCCTCACATATATAAATTCATTACAAAATCTAATTCAACTATCACAACTAGGCCTAAAACGAATTATTTGTTATTTGATATTCGATTCGTATTTTACGGATACGAATAACACAATTAATATGAATAATGAGGAAAATTATTCGTACTATTCGAAATTATTCGAAAATATTTATATATAAATATTCGTAATTATTCGTAATTATTCGCAAATATTTTATTGAAAGTAAAATAAAAAGAAGTAATTAAATTTTCCTAGTGGATATCATTTCGTTTTATTTTATTTCCTATTATCAAATATCAAATCATAACAAGTTATGTTTACTGAAAAAGTTTAATGGAAGTAAAGGAAAAGCTTCAAAGTAAAATATAATTATTTTATTTTGATTGTTTCTCTTTAATCATTTTTGATGTTATGAACAAGTCAAAACATTTTTATAGAGTGTGCCTTTTTCCCATATTCTCGAGCTCCTGGCAGATAAATAACTAAATTTTTTTGACTAGTTCTTATTATTTGATTAGGAAAATCTTTTTTCCATTTAGTACCCTTATTTTTGACAAATTTTAAAGACAATCTAATTCATAGTGCATTATAATATCTTCATCCTCTATTATATTGTCATAATCACCTCTAAAAATTATATTTATAATTAAATAAAGGAAATTTATGCTACTAAAGTATTTTTAATAAATAAAATCTATAATGAAATACTTTCTAAAATTTTGTTATATTTTATATGCAAAAATGACAATTAGTTTAGAGAATCCAAGTGTCATCTTTAAACATCTATAAAAAATTTTTTGCAAAATATTTTATAAGCTTTAGAAAAATTTTCGAATCGAATCGAAACGAATAATGATTTTATTATTCGTACGAATACGAATAGCGCAATTATTCGATTCGATTCGTTATTTTTGTAGGCCTAATCACAACACCTTTCCACTTAAATTAGCTCAAGCATCTTATTCCACAAATAAATAGTACACTCCCATTTAAGTTCCTATGCTTTACCATTTTTTTTATACATTAGTGATTGTCTTGGTTCGTTTCTTATTCGACTTTTGATCACTTCTTTTGTCAATCATGTGTTTCTTCGAACGATAACTTCTAAAAATTGTTCCTTCGTTTTTCTTTCTATGACAGTATCGATTATTCTGTTACTTTATCATAATGATAGATCCCATTCTTTTGTCTTAATGTTTAAGATATTTTCATCAAATTCTACCTACCCTATACCATAAATATAGTCTAGAATGGTATTCTTAATTGGCAGGTTGTATAAAACCCCGGTCCCTATCTTGAGTCTAAAAAATCAACTAAACCAGATTTGAATCCGAACCCGAAGCCTAGACTTAGATCTGATAAAAGGTATTATATCTTGACTGTAATCATAATTATTATTCTAAGTAGGTGGGTCTAGGATTTGATCGATCGATAATATTTTTAACAACAAAGCATTAATATGAGCATCAAATAAAAGATAGTTTAATTTTTGATTGTAATCATTTATTATATTAAGTTAGAAGGTTTTAGGGGGTCTCAAAATATTTATATATTTTTAGGCCTCTAATTATAGAGCTAATGTAAAAATATTTTGGTTGCAATACTGATGTTCTTTCTTAATAGGCGGGTCTAGATCTATTAGGTCAGAAATGCAATTAACTTTTATAACTTATAAATTCAATAAGGGCATCAATCGAATTCTAATTAAAATATCTTTTAAGAAAAATCATGTGGTATACAAAAAGAAAATATTAAACAATAGTTTATAAAATGTATATCTGAAATCTTAAATAAAGAATCAATAAATTTTTAATTTGATTAAAATTTTATACAAATGAGTTTTATAATACAAGAGAACTGTAACGTTTTAAAAATACTCCATTTTTTTATATACTCCTTTAAGCTTATTTGTGGAGTATTTTCAGATCATATTGTTCGATTATAATGTATTTACATATCAGAGTATATTTAGATCAATGTAATTTTTATAATGATATTTTTTTGAAAAAGTGCTCATGTCAATCAAGAAACATTATTAAGGAGCTGATGATGCTGAGGCGATTTTTTTGAATTTCCAGTCAAATTTTTTAGGTCGTAAAGGATATTTGCCCCGTTGGCGCCTTTTTTAAACTCCATTTTAAAAAATAAATACAGGTTCATATTCATATATTTTACATTATAAATTTTATTTTATTATAGAAAATAAAAGAAGCTACAAATTTATCATTGATTCAAGAAGCTAAAGATTTATTATTGATTCAAGAAGCTAAAGATTTAAAAATACAGGTTCATATTAATATATTTTACATTATAAATTTTATTTTATTTTAGAAAATAAAAGAAAAGATTTATCATTGATTCAAGAAGCTAATCATTGATTCAAGAAGCTAATCATTGATTCAAGAAGCTCAAGATTTAAAAACAGGTTCATATTAATATATTTTACATTATAAATTTTATTTTATTTTAGAAAATAAAAGAAGCTAAAGATTTATTATTGATTCAAGAAGCTAATCATAAATTCAAGAAGCTAAAGATTTAAAAACAGGTTCATATTAATATATTTTACATTATATATTTTATTTTAGAAAATAAAAGAAGGCTAAAGATTTATCATTGATTCAAGAAGCTAAAAATTTATTATTGATTCAAGAAGCTAAAGATTTATCATTGATTCAAGAAGCTAAAGATTTAAAAACAGGTTCATATTAATATATTTTACACTATAGTTTTATATATTTATTTTAATTATGTCATTATATCTTAATACTAAATTTAATTCTATACATGAATTAAACGATGCCATATCTATATATGAAAAAGAATTTTTTTTTAACATAGTTATTAATAAATCAGACTTATTAAAGGAACCTTATAGCAAAGCATTTATAGCTCAATATAAATATAATCGAGTTTATTATATATGTAAATATGGACCGAAAAAAAAATAAGTCTAGAGGTATAAGATCCTCATCTAGTCTTCGCAAGGTATGTATTTTTATGTTTACAGTCTTTCTTCAGTGTGATAAACTAAATGTATATTCTTTAGATATTGTCACATTTGTAAAAGATCATAAAAACCATGATCTAGGTTAGACATATTTATTTGATTTTTAACTAACATGATTTATATAATCAAGATAAAAAACTATATGAGATGCTCTCTAAACAAAGAAGGCTTTCTCCAATAAAAAAACAAATTGTGGAGCAAGCTATCACTTTTAAAGCTAATAAGGTGAAAATACAAGAATATGTTCTTAATTCAGGTCAGATGATGACTCTGAGAGATATTCATAATATTTCAGCCAAATTAAACAAGCCATCTGATAATGTATTACTTGATGTAATAAATCAACTCAGGGAAGATAATGGAGCTGTGGTGGAAATCCTAGAAAATGATAGTGAATTGTTGGGCATTTACTTTCAAGATGCTAGCATGCTCCATTATCTTAAATATTATCCTGAGGTGATATTCATTGATGCTACCTACAAATTAAACAATCTAGGTATGCCACTGTTTATTCTACTTGTAATAGATAGTCATGGACAATCTCAAATTGTCGCTTTATGGCTTGTAAAGGCGGAATCATATTTTTGTGTTAAAAATATGTTCATGATGCTTGGTACCAGATGAAAAAATCGTCTGCGGAAAAATGGCTGATGTTAAATTGTTTTATATATTTTCTTCAAGATACATTTAAAATATTTGCCTTTAAAATGCCATCTCCGAGAAATAATGGAATGCCATATCTTTGTTTGAATGGAAAACAGGCTTATTTAATCTTTTATATTTTATAGATATCAATAAAAATCACTTTATCATCATTGGAGGAGACCTTAACATGAAATTATGTAATGAAATCACTAATTCTCTTATTGGTTTTGCTAATTTAAATAATCAACTTTTTATTAACAAAGAAACAATAAATATCACACATACTTCAAACCCTCAAACAAATATACTCCTATAATCCTTAAAAAATATAATATCTCTAATCTTAATTTACCAACCCCAGCAAATAATTTTCTACATAATTTGAATCAAATCAACAATAATGACTCATGGTTAAACATTTCAAACTCAATTATCAAAACAGCAAATACCCATCTTAATATTAATTATCAATATCTATACATAATGTACATAAATACAAATGTGTTATTTTAATTATTTCTGCTAGAAATATAATTATACATGAATGGGTTTAAATTTAATCGTCAATATGTGTCATTAAATCATCACAACACAAATTCTCATTAAATATTTTCTTTGTTATTTTTTATTTTTCAATATTATTTTTTAGATGTTACAAGAAAAGGTATAGTTTTAAAAAAAATTAATTATATATTTATCAAGATGACACAATTAAATCAGGACAGAAAAAATGTTAATACTTTTAAAAATTTATTAAATAACTTTAAACAGTTCCTAGGTCAAGTGAAAAGTTTCATTCTAGTACCATAAAAGGTATACAATGGATTTTATTATTAAATAATATTCCTTTTTTTAGATGATGATGAAAATTTTCAGAACCAGCTATTAAAAATCTAAAGCTTAATGTGGAAAAAAATCATATGAAGGGTAGTATTTTCATATATTTAATATTAAATCCTTTTTGAAAATATCTAGTTATGAATATACTAAATTCGATAGTTGGAGAGGATTATAATTGTATAAACAAAAAAGGTATAATAAAAAAAATCTAATATACATATTTTTTTAGATGATGGAGTTAAGACACCAGAAAAAGCATCGAAAATGCTAGAGCCTGATGACATTCGACCTTTTGGTAACATTTTTAAGATTTGATAAAATCAATTTTTTAATTTAATAGGTGCCCTGCCGGAGAGGACGGGCATGGCTCAAAATGCCGTTTATGGTACAGAGGTGGAGATAGTTGCAATGACAACTATGCTCAAGACAAATATTTTAATACATACTATTTATAAATGGGCATACTATATGCCCATTAAAAAATTAAGTAATATTAAAAAATTTAATGTAAATATTTATTTAATAAATCATAGCGAACATATTGATCGCATAATTAATTTTAATTAATATTTATATAGCATATATTATTTATATCGCATATATTATTAATTGATTTTTTTATCTTTATATTTACAAATTAAATAAAGGATTTTAATAAATTATTCTGAAAATTGTTTCTAACTTTGAGCAGTAACGTGATAATAGATAGTGCAAGATTTATATGTTAATCTTTGATATTTTCGAATTAAACCTTAAATAAATATATAAATTTTTAACACTTAATATTAAATCTAATAATTTCTAAAGAGAATAAGGCAAAATTGCCTTAAATATCATAGGACATAGAAAAAATAATATTTATTATTCATACGTCAGTTATAAATGCCAATTGACTAAATTTATTATATTTATATGTCAGTCATAAACGTCAATATCACTAAAAATGTAATATTTAATATATGCACGTCAGTCATAAACGTCAATATCACTAAATATTGGAGTATTTTTAAAACATTACACCGGTATTAAGTGTTTCAATAATTTATTAAATTGATTTTCTTTACAATAATCGCAAACTTTTCTCCAAAAATAATATTACCTAATGGAAGGAAAGTTCTTCTTTGCCAAAAATTATAGTTATAATAATTTTCCCTTCTCCTTGAATCGACTCCCTCTTTATCTAATAAAGAAAGGCTTAAATTCTTTTTCATTTATGAAAAGTACATAATAAAAAGTAAATAATATATTTCTCAGTGGCGTCTCTAGCCTTTACAATCTCAGGGGGCTCAACTAAAAAAAATTTATGGGGGGCTTCGCCCCCCATACCCTCCAATTTGCGGGCCTTCGGCCGGGTTTAATATTAATATATTATACTTTTTTTAAATTAGTTAACTCTGAACAATTATTCTGATTTTCATATTTTGTCATTTATTATATTATGCATATAAAATAAACTGGCATATAAAAACATAATGCAATAATATAATTCTTAGCAACTTACATTGACAAAAGGTTATCAAACTAGTATAACTCTCTGCTACCATTTTAGACAATGTTTTATACAATAAACTAATAAGGAAAATTTTTATAGGCCTCTACCAAATCAACAATTTTTGAAGAAAAGAGTATAAACGACTAACCCAAATCATAAAACTATATGGTGGTTAGAGCTTCCTTTTAGATGACATGATGGAAGCTAGATAAGTAATCGAGAAAATTATCGTGAGATATTAAATTTCTAAAAGATTATCTTCCATTTTAAATGATATATAAACGACTACACAGTTGACCATTATTGTTTATCTAAAATATGCAATCATATTCTCTTAGCCGTTGGTGTAATAATCTTAAATTACATAGCAACACAAATAAATATACACTGGTTAGTTTGCAGTAATATCCATGACACTCACGATGTAAACTTATATCAGAATTTATTATGTTGGATAAATTGATAAAATAAAAACACTAAAAATTTTGAAAGAAATAATTGTGCAAATATATTGCAGCCTGGAGTTATTTACACATTCCAATGCCTTATTAGAAATGAAACATTTTCTAATTATAAAATAAGACCAGAATGATATGATGAAACAATTAAGATTTTATATATTGTCGATATAATATCTTAAAATAACAGTAGTTTGTAATAATATCAAAAATATACTTGTATTAAAAATTTAATTCAAAACTGTTTTTCGAAAAAGAAAAAAAAGAAAAGAAAAAATATCAAATTTATTACATATATTGCAGGATGAATCATAAAATGCTTAATTTTTAAAATTATTTATAACTAAATAGATGGCGTTAAATTCTTAAATGCATATTGTTAGTATATTTATTATCACCACCATTTATTAGTAAAATTTATTATAATATTAACTTAATATATTATATAGTTGTCAAATACGTCTATAAAAGTGACATTTTATCTAATATTTTATAACCAACTGTATATAGTAGAGGATTATAAACTATATCTTTATTTATTTACTTTTTATAAAGTAATCTCTTATACTTATTTGGATCTTGAAAATATTTTTAGGAATAGGTATGATAATTATATTTAAAAATAAATATACAGTTGATTAGTCATTTTGAACTCGGCTAATTACAATATTTTTTGTTAATTTTGAAATAATATATGATTATATTTATTTAACTAGGGTTATATATTAATTTAAATAATAAAAGTCAATTAAACTTCAACTGTTAAAGCTAAATTAATATTTAGTTAGTTATTGATATTATATTTTTAATACAGAATTTGATTGCAAGCTGACATAGTGATATAATTTATATGTATTAATCTAATCTAATAATTAAAATAGTATTCATTTAATAAAAATTTAAATAGTCTTATTAATTTCTAAATA